AAGCGAATATTATGATTATATTACTACCGATAAACTAATTCACCGATAACGTTTATTGATACGATTTTGCATTCGAAAAGGTGATGATGGACTCATGTGTTGTACGAACGAATGAAAACATGAAATTACGAACACAAAAGGTGAACATGATATTAATAGCAGCCAATTTAGCTGGCTTTGCAATTAGCAAATGGCCTTCTTTTCAAGTCTTTAATATTCCTGTTAAATTTTGTACTAGGTGGAGTATGACTTTACATACATAGATCCTGGTCCAGACGTTGAAGTTAAACATTGCAGTAACGGCAAAATTCCTAACACAAATGCTCTGATAGTAAGTATAGATTTTCTGTACCGTGGTATTAAATGTAGATATGCTTTGGTGAGTCATTTAAAAGGCTTACATAAATATTAGTAGGTACTTCTTCTCTCGATTGTATGTGATGAAGCCTATTGTGATTGACATTGCATCGATATTAATGCATTTGAATGCTATCAGACGATGGTTCAATTTAGGCGAGCGAAATTACTTAAGCATCCTCTTTCAACCAAATTATTGGATGCTAAATGGTAATATAATTTTATTCGCGCTGATTCATACTATTCTATTTTATTATTAGTTGCTAACGCATCGTTGCTATATGATACAAATAAATTAAATTATAGGAATCGATTTGGTTGGCACATATACTTCTTCAACTTGATTGTTTATGTACTGTTTATCACATCACTCAGCGTTTGTGTTATTTATCATCGATCTATTTATGCCGATCACTATTTTCATCGAGATGTAAATATCGGTCTTAAATTAAGACCAAGTGATAACTCCATAAATTCGAATTCCAACCATATAGCTTCTACGGTAACAATAGATCCTAATGATAACATGACGGATCTAAATACTACCATTATGAATAACAGTAGAGCAAATGAAATTGCCTTCAAACAAACGGTATGGATACGTACAAGGAACTATGACTAATACTAGGGACAACTCAATCGAAATCTAATTCTTTTTGGATTGAGTGGTCCCTAGTAGTTCAATACTTTCAACGATTGATGTAGCGGTTGTTCATAATGTTACTCTTTCTTGACTCTGTTTAGGATTTATACCTTAGCATAAGCTTTACCACAGTTGTGGTCACGTTTGGTCTACTAAATTTAGTTAAAGAAGCCTATTTGTTGTACTTGCAGGTAAGGATAGTTCTATTTTCGTACATGCACTACAATTACGAACTGAAGGACGATCCTAGGATGTTATAATATAAAACTTGATACCTTTAACTCTTAATATTTTCTTCATATAGAGATTGAGATATTTTAGGGATTTATCGAATTATTTTGAGAACTTCTTGTACATAATATGTGTTTCGACTTTGCTGCTGGGATCGAACTACAACATTAAGCTGACCATGTATAGTGTAATCGTTTTTGTTGCCTATATTAATTTGCTGCAATATATTCAAAGGTAAGCAAGCACTTTATTTGCAAGCAATTTTGATTGACTACATAATTGAATGAAATTTTTTGACAGAATGAAAATTTTTGGAATTTATGTGGTAATGTTGAAGTCAATGTTTTTAACTATAATGAAGGTATGATCATTGTATTGGTTGTTCTTTTGACATGAAACGGGATCGTAATCATATTAGTACAGGGGCATATGATATCACAATTCTACGTTAGCATAATAGACTTAATTTCACTGAAATCATTTGATAAAATAATAGCAATCTAATACTTCAGTTGTTTTAACATACCAGTATAATGTAAAATATCTCGTGACTAGGCTATACAATTAATAGTAGCCATATTTGGTCTATAAACGATGCAATGGTTGTATCTCATATTAATTTAAAATTAATCCCCTTTGCGAAAAATTGCAATGGAAGGTGTCATTAATTGTAGCGGTATTGGTTATGGCTTTTGCTATGAGCTTTTCACTTTTGGATCCATCGTCGGTTAGTCAATTCACTATTTTTCTGTTAAAATTAGCACTTTTTACATGGCAATTCAGCATTTTAAGTAGCTTTTCCTGTTCATATTTGATGCAGAAGGAGATGTATACTCTTCCTTTGGCTTTTGTAAGAGTCATTGATATGATGGTTGGAGAAATCAACTTGCCTGATGTGTGGTTCCCGAGAATAGAAGATGGAACGATAGCGTATCCCCGCAGTGTGATGTTGTTAATTAATATTGCGTTATTTGTTTTCTTCATGCCAGTAATGTTGATTAATCTAATGGTAAATGGTTAAGTAATTGTATTTTATGGCTACATTTATTTTCACCATCTGCATAACTTAAACAAGGCTTATAATTGTTTATTTCATATCCGTTATTTAGGTTGGTTTGGCTGTAGGTGATGTTAATAAAGTACAAAGAGAAGCCCATCTTGAGCGCTTAGCTTTGCAAGCAGAATACTTCGATGACTTGGAAAGGGCTTTACCTTTGGTTACAAGGAAAAAGTTTTATATTCCTAACTTGACATGTTTCCCTCGTCCTTACTGGGAGAAAGTGAGTGCACTATCATGCAGATTAGATAAAATTGTATTGATGACAGCAGCAGGATAGTTTAAGCGTGTCTAGACACCAAGATTCATTGATATTGAATATTATTTTCAATGAGTATACGTAATTTATTTAATCGTTTTATATGACGTTTACGATGTGCTTGCACTAGTATTGGAACTTCTATAATCCTAGGTACACATGTATTAGATTCTACATTTAATTAAGTTGTTGTACTTTATTAACTAGATGGATCCTGAGCCTTATACTCCGGGAGGTTTTTTAAATAATAATGGAATTGACGTACCAACCATTGACAATGACCAAACGGAGAGAATACTCGATGTGCAGTATGAACTGAAAGACCAAAGGCAGAAGTAATTCATGTATATGTAATATGTAATTTAAGTAATATTTACCCCTGCCGTCTTGCTACAATAGAATTATCTTAACTATTACTTATTAGGTTAGATGACCTCGTAGTGCGTTTTGATTCTTTACAATCCTTGATGATTAAACTTCTGAAGCAAAATAAAGAAATAATTCAATCTGGCGATGATGTATTTTCAAGAGTTGGTGAGCCTATAAGTGAATATGGCGGTAATGAATGTTGTGTCCCTGAAGCTGATGGATTTATCAGCAATGGAATTGAGAACTCTGTGGGGATGAATTTACGATCTTCCGTTAATGATTTAAAGTCTACAGACACTTCTCAAGGCAAAATACTACGAAAGGTTAAATCACAGCAGAGTTTCAAGCCGTGCTTAAGTGTGGATAATCCCAAAAAGTTGAATCAACGACCTATTCAACCTATGGGTATAGATTTATTTCGTCAGGGTGGTGAAATGCTTAATACGATTGAATCTAGTGATAGTTTCGATTCAGAATGTGACTTTACTGTTGAACCTAGATCGCATTCATTAGGTGGGACTTCCAATCATGACCTTGCATCATTAATGGAACCATCTTCAGAACCAAATTTAGCAACATATGGCAAGACTGAATCACTTAAGTGTTTATCAAGGAATGAAAATGCAATTGCATGATTATAACTTAAGGGTTTATTATTGTTTATGTGATTTGACATGTACGCGTAAGCTTGCAGAGAAAAAATGTATCATTTTTTATTATAAGGGCCTTATTTAGGGGCATGGTGTGATCGTGTATTAAGGACTCAATTTTTCGTACTGACAGTATAAATTTGAAAAGAATTTATTTATTCATATGCTGAAAATAATAATATAACTGATTTTAGAATTAACGTTTAATTATTCAATCATACTATTTTATTTAATCAGTCCTGGATCGTAATTAATGATGTTCATTAATATATATGCTTATTTTGTCAAGATAGTTTGTTATATATTGTCTCAATATTTTTCATCATAATTTGAATGTTTTTTTTTCACATTATGCAAGATATTAATCATTATTTGATTCCTGAAACCTTATTATAACATGTTGACTGCCTATAAGAATATTTTTATAACCATTGGCCGAAACTGTATTGATTACCATTATAGCTCAGTCTTCTGGCTCAATTTTTGCATCTTCGTATAGTTCTAACATGGAAAGATATTAAAGCTTTTACATCTGCGACAAGATGTATAGTTAACTATACGTAGAGCAATGGCGCTCTGAAGATATTGAAATTGACCAAATATAGCAAGCGTCTGTTTAAACGAATATAGATTTACTTTATCGTAGCAAGGTTTATTTGGATGCAAAGGCCTAAAGGTGCAGTATCGCCAGGTCGTTTCGTTATGACTATGCGTATCTGTATAGACTATTTTAACGTTCTAGTAGTAAATTACAATTAGAATCGTAGTGTACATAGTTGAAATTGGCAGATACATTGACGTATTTTGCATGGATTGAGAAATCTGTTTTCATGGAACACATTTATACCTACGAGAATCAATGAGAGCAGTGGTACTGCAAATCGTTATGATGCGGTAGAAGATGAACAGTACCGTGCAGACTCTGAATTAAAACATCGTTTTAGGGTCTATACTGTGTGATATACACTGTCTCATACGTAGCTTAGCATGCATAACAGTAAATGCCATGTCTCTGAATGACTGAGCATTTGAAACGTCATCATCGCATTACTAATGTTGTTATATATTACTATACAGTATACTGCGAGTCTGTTCTTCAAACTAGCGATCGCCTCCATCCGACCCATTAAGCGTCTGCTACCATATCGATTTTCGTTTTGACCTGCAAGTGCATCGAGAATTTCTGTTTTCTAAAGCTGTACAACATCAAAATTTTGAACTTACTTATTCACAAGATGTATATGATCAATTTGCATCAGTTTTATGAACAGTAGCATAGTACTCTACTACGGAGAAGACTCATTTTGACTTAATGTTGCTTCTATGCTGTAGCGAAATTCGGTGATCTGGCGTTTTGACACGTTTTGTACTTTACTAGTGTTCATCATATTATTAACTCCTGATTAGCGGTGTGGCGATCAAACGATATTGGTCATGTCTCCAGACGATATTATCTATGTTTCATTACTTCTGGTGTCTATACCTATTGGCTTTTTGATTAAAAATGTGCAGAGTGCTGTCCATCGGCAGTGGTTGACTTTTGCCATCGGTTTATCCATAGCAATAGCTACGATAGGATTCGATGTTGTTCATTCATTTGTCACTATACTAGGCACTTACATCATCTGTCGTTTTGCACCCTATCGGTGAGTCGACAAGTCTTGCTAAAAGATGACTAATGCTACATTTTCGACAGTAATTAGAAATTATGAAGTACAATTTAATTTGGGATATGACCCACTTGGATCAGATACGCTTAGTCGCTGTTAATTCAAACAATTTTTTGAACTGTTGGAAATGATTTCATCGTACCAATAAGTGTACGCTTTATAATATCACTTAAAATTGATTCTTTTCAATATCATTCTAGGTACTGCCATACGCTAGGATTTTTGTATTCGTTTTTGTATTTACTATTCTTCCGAATAGCACATTATTTTGGCTTACCAAAACCATGCAACCATTCTAACGCCATACAGCTAATACTGACAATTAAGGTACGGTTGGCAAATCAGCTTGTGCCAAAAGGCAATAGCATTAGCCGAGACAGGGACTGCTCAAAGGTCCTTGGCCAAGTGTTATCATACCGTACAATACTAGCAACATTGAGCATATCGTTCATTCGTTATTCCGGTTGGTAATCTTCCTTGATTTATTTATCTTCAGATAACTAACTAAAGTAGTGTGTATAGACTGGTACCGTACTTCAATTTCAAAAATGTATAACAGTTCTCGTTTTACAGTACTGTATATACCAATAAATATATCGTCAGCCGTGTTATCCTCTGCAATAATGCCGCTACGTCACAGTTAAAAAATTGCTAATAGTAAATGCCGACATAAGCGTAAAATGGATGTGATTTTAAATTTGTAACGATACGTTGGTACTATGTTAGCGTGGCATTCTAATTATACTGAACTAGTGTTATAAAATTCTAAAAATTTAATTTGCAATTCTAAAGAATGTGTTTTTAAATTGCCAATAACTACAATATATTTTGCTGTAGATGGCTAGTATAGCGTTTGATGTGCACTTTTGGCACTTGAGGAAAACTGAATCAGTGGTTGTAAACAAGTTGCCTGGATTACCCATCAAATCCTTACCTTCATTGTTCGATTTTTTATCATATGGATATTGCTATTGTGGATTATTGTCTGGTCCTTATTTCCAATATCGTGTTTACAAAGATATGATCGATAATCCAAACGCAGGACAGATTGAGGTACTGTGGCCAGCAATGAAGAGATTGCGTTGGGTACCTATCTTGGTGGGTATCTCACTATCTCTTGGCAACTATCGATCAGCTTATATCATATCGGAAGAATTTTATAATAGCACTATCTTTGATAAATTATTTTATGTGTTAGTTCATTTTATTGCATTTCGATTTCGATTTTATATCGGTTGGGCACTAGCTGAAAGTGCTTGTGTCATAGCAACATTAGGAGCTTACCCTGAGGCTACTAAACCTCGTCCTGGTGCTGGTCCAACGATTGCATTGGATGATAATACCAGTAAGAATGATCAATATAATTTTGAAACAGTCTACAATCTTGATATTTACCAAATTGAAACCGGAACAACATTAAGACCAGCCATGCGTTATTGGAATATGACAGTTCAGTGGTGGTTATCTGCATTTATTTACCGTTATTGGTTGCGAGGTTTACCCGATATTATCAGGTATGTTTTAAAAATCTATTTCGCTATGGGTTGTATTAGTTAATTCAAAGATAGCAAGAATATAGTGAGAATACGGTATACTACAATAGATAAAAACTATATTTGCTTTGCAAAACATTAGTACAAACATGAAAGATTATTTTCATGCTTTTTTAAATATACTGTACACTGACGTTCTTATTAATATCAATTGCAGGTTGGTTTTACTCTTTATCGTTAGTGCGTTTTGGCATGGAATTCGTGCTGGTTATTACTTTAGTTTTATGACAACTCTATTATGTACTCTTGGGCAAGATCGCTTTTTATCCTTTTTTTCGCCATACTTTCGTGGTTCCTTCAGCTCCAAAGCCTTTCATTTTGTAGCCAATTTTGTCGCTATTAGATTGTATGAATATAGCAGCTTAGGATTTATTTTTCTTGATATAGATAATACAGTAACCGTGAGTGGTTCTTTATATTATTGGGGTCACATTTTTTCAATAATAATGATAACGCTAAGTTTAATTAAGCCATCATCAAAGGGTGTTCGTGAAAAAATGAGTAAAGTAGATTGAGGTATACAATTCGTTTTTTGTTGTAGTCTAATGCAAAGTATACTAACTACATAATAGATGTACTGTACAGTTTATTGACTGCTATTCTATGAATGTAGCAAAATAGACTGTATTTGATTGCACATTCAACTGAAAACTTTGAATGCAATGCATAAAATGACACTAAATTAATTTTTGGGGCTATATACGCTTATCTATCTATAAAATTGGATATGCATTAGTTGCGGAGTGCTTTGATTCTGGCTTCATCTGTGACTTACTGTGCGATTAAATTCTTAGCGACAGTAAGAGCAACATAATTTAAATCATTTCATAATGTACAGTAACTACATAGTAGTAATAATTTAATACTCACTGGATAACGCTATTCAAAACTCAATTTGTACAGTAGTTCGTGTGAACTAGTTTTAACAAATGCAAAGTAAACTAACTGATATTAACTAAAGTGTGTTATCGTAAACCGATGATTTTTGTGAGTATGCATTCAAGGTGAATTCGTTAGCTCAGTGTCAGGCTAATAAAGTAAAATAAAATTTGATCATGAAAGCATCGCACTGGAAACATTGCAGTTTATCGCTACGGGAAATTTCGATGCTTCTATTGACTCATTTGGCCAAAGTAAAATAAAATTTGATCATGAAAGCATCTCATTGGAAACATTGCAGTTTATCGCTTCTGGAAATTTCGATGTTTCTACTGACTCATTTGGCCAAAGTAAAATAAAATTTGATCATGAAAGTATCTCATTGCAGTTTATTGCTACGGCAAATTTTGATGCTTCTATTGATACATTTGGGAATTTGTATATCATAGGAGCGTAAAGTACAGCCTCTCTTATCTCTGAAAAACGCGATTTTTGCTATCCACAGTCAATATGGAGGCTAATGCTGTGCGTAAATCATAGATTACGCTGTGACCTAATAAAATCACCGTAAATTTAGTAGTCCATGATTATGCCTATCGATAGTAAAAAGCAAGTACTGTATACTGTAAGACTGCGAGTTGGCCCTCATTTTTATATTGCTACGAGCCGCTTAAAGTTACAGGTGTTATACTGTATATACATTGTCCGTGACATATATATCTTATTTTACAAAATCATTTTACTATTTGCTGCACTTCAAAACGTGGTTGCTGTCAGGGAATAGTGAAGAAAGGTTCCTGTTGCTGCATCCGTAGTTTTTGTACTAAAGAATCTAGATGACATGTATTACATGCAGTTAGTGTAGGTGCAATACAGTATTGTATCGTGTAGTGGCTGCATTTATTAACGAATAACCTCAAATTCTTGCAAAATTAATCGAATGAATTCATTAATTATTAATTTCATTCGATGTGGCTGCAGTCCAAAAAGAAGCAAGAAAAAAAAAAAGTAAGTTGCATCGGCCGGGAATCGAACCCGGGCCTCCCGCGTGGCAGGCGAGAATTCTACCACTGAACCACCGATGCTTCCTTGAGAGATAGATATAACCTTTTGTATATAAACAAAGGAGCTGAGTCTTTTGATGAAGTTTGCATGTCTTTGAAAGACGATTCAAGTAGTATAATTATGGTAGAGGAGTTGCTATAGTATTTTATTCCTGATGGCGATTGAAACATAATCTAGTTGAGGTAAATAAGATCACTTTCGGCCTACCCTTACAGAAATTTTGAAATGATTAGTTGTTGCAATTACTCTTCCTATTCTATTTACTGTGAGTAAACAAACTTGTCAGTTGGTAGTGCAATACTACAGTATACAGTACAGTATTGAGAGCAAGCAAAGTACAGTACAGTGTACAGTACAATACAGTACTGTACTGTACAGTACACTAGATTCTACAGTCTAGGCACGGTGTGTGGACTGTAGACAGCTACCTTGCAAGTACTGTACTAGAATTAATTGAAGTTTTGCCCAGCAAACGCAAGCTCCAAGCTAAAGGTTTCGCCCATACAGGTAAAGATAAGTAATAATAATTAATGTATATATCCTAATGCAATAGTAACTTTAGGTTGATTTCTTATTAAGCTTCAATTTTTAATTTAAAATTGCGCGATTGATTATAAGGTCAAGCACAAAATTGATGGGTGATTGATGTACATAAATGCGACATTGCAATGGAGTTAATGCAATTGGATGATGAGCATATCAACCTGCTAAAGGCTGTACTAAATTCCTTTATGCGCGATCCTAGCCGTTTTATTGATGATACATCAGTTGAAAAATTGTTATCATGGTTATCTACTGTATGTCGCTGTGAAATACAGGTTGAAAGACTGGGCCAAGATTGGATCTTGCAATTTATTTATGATAGCCTAGACCAAGATAAGGCAGTTATTACAGCTTTCGCTATAAGACTGATAGGCATGTTAGCTGCATGGCCTTTCTATTTCCAACGTATGCAAAATCTAAGGCAATATAATCTACTCGATTTGTTGGCTTCCATGCCTTCACAATCTAGTTGGAAGTCAGCTACCGTTCGGGATGCATATTTTAAAGCAGCCAATAATTTAATACCTTGTCGTCGAAGTTTTAACTGGATTGTTGCTAAAGGTATGTTGATAATAAATGCAATTTCATCGATGCAATGAATGCATGAAATAATAGCTTATGGAAAATAGCTGATTATAATAATAACATCATGTCATGAAATTGCTAGGATAAGTTGTTTAAACCGATTGATAGTCTGATGGAATTAATTTATGTGCTTTAAAAGCATTGTAGAATATCAAGAGCTGCACTATACAGTACTATAAAACGGCACCAACGACCCTACAATAGTTATCACATAATGAATTTTGAATTATAGTTATAAATTCAATCCTGTCTAAAATTTAGTAGATTAGTAAGGCTATATATAATTCAACTACTTTGAAGGGTGCAAATTGATGACGCTATCATAAATTGATTACCATATAAAATAGAATCTACCTGTTCGCAAATACTTTATTATACTGCTACGTTTGCATTCACAGCTATTTCCTGTATTCAAATTTTAATAAATAATTCAACATTGATTGCTATGTTAGCATCTGTAAGTCTATCAGTTTACACATACAACTACAATTCAACGCGCTTGATACTGATAATTTTTTATCAAGTAAAATTTAATGCGAATTTACTACACCGAAAGACTTTTCATATCTGATTTACATCGAAATTATCTTTGCTCTGACCTTTCAATAACTTGAGAATTAATCAATTAAACTTTGGTAATCAAATCTGTCAGTGGCAGGATGCAATCCTTCACGATGACAAAGTGTTGCCTATTGTACTGTACGAGACTTTGTTTATGTAATGTCTGCCTCGAAATCTGTAGATACGCAATTATGGCTGCTATGGGTATCATGTATACGGTAGATCTTGCCAACATTTCTACTCGCTAGATTTATACATGTTACTTGAATACTTTTGGTTTGTCTCATAGATATGGTAACGGTTGGCTTGTCTGCGCTTGGTGATGATAGTATATTTGTTATGAAGAGTGCGATTAACTTTGTTGTCCAATATCTATTGTGGCACGGTAGACATCATTTTCAAGAGCACAGCTGTGATCAAGAACCTATGGATTTGCAATATTATAATGACGTAATCAATGAAATCAGCAACTTGCTTACCCAGTCTAAGCTATCTTTGGCTAGTATTGATAGTCAGTTGTCAGCAATAGCAATCATAGTGGATTATCTTGCATTAGCTGATGAACAAGGTTTACATCTAATTTTGAACAGTTTTCCTACACTTGGATGCTGTATTCACCATATTCTACATACCGGAGATTTTGTAGCGTGCAATCAAGTAACATCAATATTCAAGAATATTTGCAGCAAATTTATTACGTAATGATTATATTCTATTTGTATACATGCACTTATTGTATATCCTTATTGTTAGATATCAAACTATTTATTCATAGTAGTGCTTATACTTTTGACTGTAAATGATGATCATACATATTAATTCTGCTTGTAATCTGCCTTATTTCAGATCATGGGATTTAAATTGGAATGCGTTTGTCAATTCAGATCGTAGCAAATTAAACCACAAACATGACAATCATTCGAACAATCTTCTTGCCACTACATGGTTGTCGATGCCATTAGCACTGTACCGTAGAGGTTTTATTACAACTGGAATGCAGTTGTGTGCGTCGTTATCGTTCTACAACAATGCAGTTCCTAGGTAACCAATTCGAATATCGAATGCTTCCATGTTCATTTATTAGTTTGTGTAACCTTGATGCCTCCTACCGCGTAGGGAATTATCAATATGCAATCCAAAGCTTCTATCTGAGATCCTCTACCGTCCTCTACATTTGGTTATGTATGGGATGTTCACTAGGGATGAACAAGATGTTAGCTTAGAAAGATCTATTGACATTTCTTTGGATATTTTAAAAGCGCCTATATTGGCAGATGTATGTATTGCGAATAATCAAATGTTAGCCATTTATCCCTTTATAATATTTAATTACAGGAAACGAATTAGATATTATTCTGCAATGACTGTAGTGAATTACCTTTTAATTGTTTTTTTTCTATTTTGTGCGTAGCAATTATCGGCACTCCAAAAACATTTGGATTCCATCCTAACAACCGTTTCTTTAGGAAAAGCACAGTCGCAGGCTGCAATAGTTTGTCATTCCATAGAGTCCATTATTTATTTATTTAATATGGTAAATGAAGTACCTTTGAAGTATAAACCTATGAAATGTATTTATATCGTTAAGGTTGAACGAATATTTTTGCAAACCTCTTGTAAGAAAAAGACATTTAAATTTTTGTTTTCTGTTAGGGTTACCAAGATCTAGTTTCGGCAACATGGATTAATTCTGTCGTCGTACTGTTCGCCTTGTGTAGTTGTCCGTCGTTGTTAACTAAAGAAACAATTAGTAAAGTTAATGATAATATTACTGGCAGTATAAAAATTGCGAGGGCTGCATTAGATTTTGTATCTCATTCTATTAAACAAATTAAAATCATCCGACAATCGCAACTACCATTTTGCCCCTTGTTAGGTATAGTGCACAACTTCTTAAAAATTTCTGATGTTAGCTCTCTAGAATATGTTATTTTTGATTGCATATTTTCGATTATAATGTGAACTTCTTGCTTAATGGAGATGATGTAATACTGTATATTATTTTAATTAGGTGAAGCAATTGACCCTGTCTATGTTATATTAGCCGCTATCAACCAAATTGATCTAGAGGAGGCGGTGCGTAAAGTACCTTTTGTAATTGCTATTGATTATTTTTATTTAATTTAATTTTTCGTATCCCTTCTAGATCTTAATTAAAAGCTTGAATCTGTTATCGGAAATCTTGTTAGAGTTAAACGATGATGAAATTATCTTACTGTTAGATACATATAGAATTAGCAGCAATCAGGGTAACCTTTTAATGTAGCACAATAATATATGTATTCTATAGATTTACAATTGAGTTATCATGAATAAATCAATGATATGCATAGTAGGTGTGTTAACTATTACCTTTTCCTCTACTGAAGCCATTTTTAATAGTAACGAAGGATGCAACTTACTGCATTGTATATCTTGTGCCTTGGACGACGCAAGGTGGGAAGTAAGAGATTCTGGGATAGCCTTAGCAATGAGTGTATTTATAAAGGCAAAAGGTTAATAAATTTTGAATAGTGAAAAATAGCTGACTCTCATGATCAATAGTTGTAAATTTATATTTTAAGGAAACAAAGAAATATACCAGCAAGTAATCAATGGTGATCTGGTTGAAAAAATTTGGAAACTCTCAAATGATGATGAAGGATTCGTTAAAGCATCGGCGTTAAATTCTATGTGCCAGCTATGCAGTGCTATCTCTAAACCTGATGATCTAGATCCAGTGTTCAAAGAAAATAAGGTATCATATCCTTATGGATAACATGCCTTGCAAACGATATCTCCTTAGCATCTTGTGACTCTAATCTTAATCTTTTATAGATTTCTGATGCAGTTTTTCAAATTATATTAAATGATACGGAAGCTTTAGCAAGACGCAGTGCAATCGATCTTGTGATTCAATGCTTCAAGTATGGATTTATATTAAAAGATGTAGGCAATTGTGCAAGTGAGACAGCTCAAGATATTATAAACGTATTAAGAAATGAAAGTATGTACATTAACATTATTATGAATTCTTTTGTTATGTAATTCAACTGTATCGAATATAAAGCGGTTTGACATCTCGCAGTATTTATTTCTTGGTTGTAATTGTGCAACAGGTAATATTACTAGTACTCTACGTCAAAGCTGCCATGATTTAGACTGGGAAGTTAAAAGACGCGGACTTTTGTTTTGGAAAGCATTTATTGAGCGACACTGGCAAGAAAGTTGTACTGAGGCTACAGCGAAACATTACACTATAACTAGTCATAATAGTAAGATTATATTATCACTGGTACTTAGCGGGTGTGCTATTGCACTTCAGGATGCAATAGAGGACTGCGATGTTGTCATCCGGCAGGAGAGTTGTGCTATACTATTATCTCTGCAAACTAAATTGAATCTTGACCTATTGGCAGATTCTAAAGCTGCAATTACTGAGCAATTAAGGTTTATTCCTGGTTACTTTATAAAATTTTATATCTTATGGTTTTATTCATTGTAATTACTATCTTCCATATTATAGAGAATTCGACGATCGTATCAAGACAGAGCCAGATAATCACTTAACGTGCAATGAATTTTTTGAAAAAATAATGAGCACCAACTACCACAACTTAATCCAAGCGTGCGATGACGCCAGACAAAGTCACTTTAATGTAAAGCGCCTAATGAATGATTTATTATTCATTGCCAATCAGGATACCTTGCTAGATTGTTACTGATGTCCATAATTAATAATTAAAGTAGATAGTTCGTAAGTGTAAAGTACAAGTGTATGGTTGGCTATTCATTGACAAGAGAATACTCTGCCAAAGTTGACTATTATCTTAAAGTAGAAGCGGTATACGAGATAAAATTATAACTCCTGATATACTTAAACGTGTAAATACCGAAGTAAAATTACTAAATAAAATAAATACATTGATTGAACTAAATTTCGGCAATTTAATCAAGTTATTTCCTTGTTCAATTGCGGATTTGTTCGATTTTCATGTATTGACGACCCAAATGCAAGTCATGATTACATTGATGAAGCTTAAAGATTACAAGAACAAACACCAATCCAAACGGATACAAATATTTAACTGAGACGGATGACAAATTTAACATACACCTAAAAATAATTATATCAGCAAAGTGTCGTCGTATATATTTACATGGAACAAGTTGATTTGAAGAATTATTTAGCATTATATTATCCTTGATGCTAAATATTAAAGCAGTACAGTTATAACACAAAAATCTTTCACATGAATCGAACTAACAGTACATACTGTAGAGTACAATAAAAGCTGAATTTTATGGATTAAAATTGTAATCTGATAAAGCAATCACACATTCAAAATGGATGCTATTGAATAATAGCAAAATCCACGGTTAAAAGATAAATTAAAACTAAGCAAAGCAAATCAATTATTTATCAGAATCGTATAAAATAGTAGACAATCGATACTGAGTTTCGGCTAAAACACCCTTAACGTAATTGGCAGCGACTATATCGGACGATTGATATTTCTTTATGAAAGGATGTTCCTATGTTAAAGAGTGGTAGAGTTAGTAAATATAGTTATTCACTTTCTCCGTTACTCACAGTTAGTCAAAGAAGTATTTAATCCGTATACTACTTATAGAAAACAAATTAAGTGAAAATTAATAAAGTAGAAATACAATTTTACTTTTATTTAATACAATGGAAAAATGTAGAACGGTACTCGTATGAGTACTGTATAGACGCATTTCAGGTTTCTATTTCATTCAGTAAAACAAGTTATATTTCTATTATTAATTTTCCTAAATTTCGATTGTACTATAGACTTCATTATACAGTATATTCGACTTAAACAGCTGAATACTTTCTTACCATGATGGCTCCATACTTTGGTCGCTTAGCGACTTCTTTAATTAAGCTAAGTATTATGGTATCATGAATGCATACAATTAGTATTAGAAAAATTTGCTGTAATCCCAGTAATTTATTACAATCACTCGATTGAAGTCAAAGCATTTAATCTCACCAACTATGCACGAAACTTATAAATTCATCAGTAAACTGTTTTCCGGAAGTATTCACTAAACGAGGTGCAGGCCCGCTAACAACCTGAGATAATTGCTCAAAGATTGTTTTCCACTGGGGATAAGGAAATTTTCCAGTTGCCAATTCGACCTGTTATAAAAATTAGTCTCGTAAGCTTAATTGTGTATATCAAGAATGCTAAATTGCAAGTGCCTACAAGTGTAATCCCCAAGCTCCATATGTCTGATCGAACATCATAACCATCGCGAGCAGTTTCAGGATTTATACGCTCAGGCTATTAAATATAAATAATCACAGTCAACAATATTGTACATATATGTATAGTGCTGATGGTGTTATTGATTAATCGAAAACTTGCTCATGTACGATAAAAATAATCGATATATCTGCGTGGCAATTGTGATGAAATCACACGAAATACTTACAGCCATATACGGTCTACAACCGGCGTCACGAGTTTTTGCTATAGAATCAACAAGTTTACCACTTATACCAAAATCACAAAGCTTAACGTTTCCATTATCGTCCAGAAGAATATTAGATGGCTTCACGTCTAATTTATTATATTTCATTTGTCAGATAGTAACATAATAGCAAAATACAATTAAAATCTGTAATATGACTACTTTTAAATTTCAATAGTCGTCTTAGAAAAATGCTAAAGAAATTCGTACTAGGAACTTCTAGTTTTAGTACCCCATAACAGATAGTAAATTTACGTCATGATCATAGTGTTTTACAGACGGTATATGAAGGTGCTAATAATTAGTATTCTGATTTCGCTTTAAATTTAAATTGTACAAATAGGCTATCTTTAGCATTTAGGGAATTGTATAAAAACTAGTGATTAATCGTAAACAATAGTACTGTATCAAACAAAAATGAAGAGATTGAGAAATACAAAATGATCTCAATCCGGCAACTAATTGAAAGAAATAATATTGATTACAAGTACTTGTCAACTGGTTCTAGCAAAAGATATCTTAATTAGTAATCTTACCTCTGTGAATTATATTTAGTTCAGTTTTTAAATAATTTAAAGCTCTAACGACCTAATTAGTGACATGAGAGAATAATTTAAACTTAGGCGAGTATACCAGCATAAAGGTAGGACGGTAACTAAACACCACTTGCGAGACAGTTCTTAATATAAACTAATTCATGAATACATTTTAATGCCTAGATATTATTAGATAACTTACAGCAACGGAGATTTTGCCTAAAAAATCTTCAGGAAAGGTTTGCTTTAAATTGCAATAGACTAATTTCGAGAATTTATCTAGTGATATAGTCATTAATTCCATACAAATCCAAGCATCACCCTATATATGTGTGTAGTATCATTAAGTTGAGATATTAAATCCAAAAAATTCAAGTACATTGCTAATAAATATATATATTCATGGGTTTTAAGTGGCACCGATAATTATAGGCTGAATATAAACTATAAAGGAAATGATCACAGCCTGTAAATGTTGTGACTAATAGTCATCTGTAGTATTAAATTTAAAGCGAATATGAACAATCTCACGAAGTTACGCTAAAATTTATAGCTGTTAATTCATGCTAATGGGTGTTGAATATGGTAAGAAAATATGCGATAGTAGCCAATAATAATTATCGAACACATTTATATTTATACTCATACAAGATGTACCTCATGGAAAACGGCTCCATAGAACTTCACGATATATTCGCAACGGCTTTTAATTACAACATCTAAATCCATTAATAGTCTGCGTTGCTCTAGTCCGTCTACTTCAGCTCGAATTCTCTGTGAAAGGTAATGCTAATGTAAATAACTACTCTAACGTTTATTTTAATTCGGTATTCTTTCAGTTTATGATTGGATGAAGTCAGTTACAGAATTCATTTAAAATTGACAGGGAATATATTTATACTATATCGCAAAGGAAATTTAACCAAGGTGACATGCTTCTTATCATTCAGAACTGAAATAAATACCTTTACACCCATTAAAGTTTTACTCTCTTCATGTAGCATCTTGTTTACAGTGCCATATGCACCACGGCCGATTTCACCTTCATCGATCAAATCGGTTGCAACAAAACTATAATTCTATCAAGAATAAATTAAAGTTAGGGTACTCAATACTGTACTTGTTGTAGGTACATAGATGAGTCTAGACCTGAGCAGAAATAGTAGTTACAGAATCTAAAGAATAAATCATATTGTACTGTATTACGACAAAGGACAGTCTGTCCTATTGTGCTAAATGATGTGGTACTGTTTCAAGCCTTTGTGCTGCATTTAGCGATTAAAGTATGTAGAGGCTACAGTAAAGTAAAGCAAACAAGATAAAAAGATAGTGCTAGTTTAGTTTTGCAGATGATACCTGTCCATCGATTGTTAAAGTTCCTTGTGTTCCTAGTTTATGTTCTTCGATAGGATTACTAGATGCGCATACAGCGAAATTTAGGTATTATTATATCATCATTTAGCTAGTGAAGTAAGCATCGATTAGCTATCCTAATTAAATTAGACATTGAAATGAAAATTGAAGTAGTTTTTAGAACTTACACTTGTACTTTTGGTTGAACAGGAGATTTTCGACGAGGTGGTCCTCGTTTATCAAAGTCTAGCTTAAGTCCTCGCTTACTACTACCTATAAAAATATGATAGCAACGGTTAATCCGTACGAAATGGTGATCAGAAACTGTCTTTATTCGACCGTTAATTGAATCATGATTTAATTTAACATCTACAAGCACTTTTGATATTTTAATAACTGATGTACGATTTTTTCTCGTCTTGTCAATCCCATATACCTATCCGTTATTACAACTAAATACAGTAACGAAATTATGGCTGGTAATCTGATAGCGTTTCAAATTATATCATTAGTGAAGAGAAGTATTTTAATATAAATTGATACGTAAGGTAGCTTAGTTTATAATCTTGACTACTACAGATGGATCAGGTTGGATGGAAGTAGGAAAAATACGTCTACTTATGAATTGGAGAAGAAGAGAAGTAGTAAAATGTATAAGTAAATAATGCAATTACGGTAGACAATCGAATAGCGTTTCAAATTATATCACTAGTGAAGACAAGTATTTTAATATTGTAATTGACTCGTAAGATAGCTTAGTTCATATTCTTGGCTACTACAGATGGGAGAGATCCAATAGCAGTAATTTCGTCTACTTCTGATTCGAAGAAGAGAAGTGAAACTATATCATGAAATTATAGCTGACATTGTCATAGCGTTTCAAATTTTATCAATAATGAAGAAAAGTATTTTCATATTTAAATTGGCACGCAGGGTAGCTTCGTTCATCATCTTGACTACTACAGATGGAATGGATCCGATGGCAGTCAGAAAAATACATCTACTTATGAAGCGGTGAAGAAGAGTAACGAAACGTCTACATGTACTGTAAATTATCGCTTTCGAGTGGTATCCATTGGGATCTTTGTGTCCTTATGCCATTGTCGTGTACCAGTAAAAAGTAGGAGACGCTTGTTTAAACGATACGTTTACTGCCATGACAGTTAACTTGCTTTTCAATTCTATAGGATTTTTATAGTACAATGTGCGATAATCTACCTATCTATGTGATCGTAATGTCGATCTAATGTCGCTGCCGTTAAGGAATAACGAGACATACTATACTGGACTCGTTCAAGTTGGACCACTGCATTACACCCTTGAATAAAAAATGATAGCCTGCAATATAGTCTAACTTCAAAGGTTGGTTTTCTTCTTCTTCTATTTGAACCCCCTCAACATCTTGTATATGACCAATAACGACAGTATATCTTAACATCGATGATAAGATTATTTCGAATAGGGGATTGTCAAGCTGTATCGTCTTGATCAATATGACAAATTTGCATTTCAATTGCATGGAAATTAGAATAAAAAATTAGACCCTAGCTCGACTAGATTGCTAACCGTCATGACTGCATCAAATAGTAGAATGCCATTGTCAAATACAAAAGGTTCTCATGCGTTACAAGAGTATTTTAAAGCTAGAATTTTCACTTCTAGCGTAACACTTCCACTCTTCAACTACAGCAGTTGCACTTACCTAAACCACTCATGCTAATGCTAGTAATTTGTGTTGTCTTGCAGTTGGAAAGACGTCGAATATCCCAAGTGATAAATATGGTTCTTGTTGGGTTGCAGGTTTTACTTTTGCGGCTACTCCAGTTGGGGCATCCAGCGTCATAGCGGTCCAGTACGGTGCAACAGCCGGTATCGTGGTCGACAAGAGAGAACAGCGATCGATTGGTAGTGAAAAGGTGTGGATTAATGACTTGAATGAAACAGTCTCCAATATTCCATACGGCAACCTTAATTGGTCGATACCACAGCATCAGAGTGTACAGTACAATCTTGTACAGTGTACAGTACTGGATTGTACTGTAGCTCAGCATGAAATCGTTGACGTCATACTTGAATGACGGACTAAGGAAAGAGAGCAAAATTGATTACTTTCACTCTTCAGGCAAAAAGAAAACTGCAATCTAGAATGCAGTGAATTGTATGGATTAGTATCACCTATATAGTACACAGAATAGTAGGCGATAGGCACGGTTATTAGAGTCCCCTTAATAAATAAAGATGGAAAAAGTTTTCTATCTCGGACAGCTTTCTCTTCCAGTAGTGATATTATAATGAATGTCGATCATCCATTGCAATGGTTTCAGCAGCTAGAATAGTGCGACTGTGTTAACAAGTCTTAATCAATTGGTATTGTACTGTAGATACTTCTAAACGGACCACGAAAGGTGTACATTGCGTGTAATATTATTGTTTATGCACTACTGTAAGCAGTGGTTAACAGTTGAGGTGGCTAACTTCATTTTTTCCCCTTTTGACACCGTAACCTCTGTTTGCTGTATGCCTCAATAGTAAGTTTAGTTTATTACGAGTCATCTACTAGCTCTAGTCTCTACAAATTAGTACTCAGTGAATAGTGTTCATTACTATGAGATATGGAATGGCATCCAATTGTCAAAGCATGACTTTTTTTTTATTATTATTGTGCATGATGGTCCAGGCAAACGTGCACTTTTGCAATGCTCACTGATCGATTAGTTATGACATCATTTACTTTATCGTAGCTCGAGTAGCTCGAGTAGTGCCAAGACCGTATATGGCAATGGACCAGTTAGCCAACACGGATAAAAATAATCATTACTAATAACAAAAACAAATTTATTTAAAGTTGATGAGTAATATTTCCAGCAATCTTGGAGTGTCTTCATTCGATGATAAGGTAGTGACTCATCAATGAGTCATCAAATCCACTGCTGAGATGAAGCCAATAAAACTCCTCTCCATTCGTAGTAGTACAATTTACATGTTTTGCAACATTACAGACTCATTCATTCACTCATTCATTTGTTTGTTTACAATCAAAAAGTGGAAAAAGAAACCCCCAGCATGCCAATGCTCTCATTATATCGATATGATTCGCCCTAGTTACTGGAAAAAGTGCAGATCTTATGCACACGTTGATCACTTAATAATGTGATTGCAATATATTCTACGGAATGACTGGTGTTTTTTACTACTGCACTCGGATAGCCTATGCTCTCATTCGATCACTCAATAATGTTAGGGTTAGGGTTAGGGTTAGGGTACTCTATGAAATGACCGGTGTTTTTTACTACTGCACTCGGATAACCTATGCTCTCATTATATCGATATGATTCGCCCTAGTTATTCGAAAAAGTGCAGATCTTATGTACCCTTCGATCAGCTAATAATGTGATTGCAATATACTCTATGAAATGACCGGCGTTTTTTACTACTGCACTCGGATAGACTGATTTCAAACCCGTAGGTGATTCATCTCAGATATGAAGTAGCAGCAAAGGCGTTATCACTATAATCTTGACAATTTAAAAAATTCCAAGCATTAAGCGAGAAATCTTCAAATGAGTCCTCTAGAGAATTACAGGTTAAACTGATCTTTTATTGTTAGTGATAGATCCCTCGCTTGCTATACTTTCCGTACATACTTGTAGTTTTTACTAAACTGTACAATCAATCACTGACGCACAATTAATCATTCATTACAGTACGCTACACTGTATGGAAACTAAATAAAACCAACGATTTAGCAACGGGCTAAAATCAACAAGCACCGCACGATACCTTATGAGAATAAGATGACAGTTTGATAATTTATAATGAATGATGGAATATCTAAAGAATACATGAAACTAACAATTTTAAAATTGAAATTTAATCTACAACCTCTTCCACGTACTGCAGTAACTTAGTACTACTGTGCTTCGGTATTATTGCCATTCACAAAAATAGCTTACTGTAATGTAACCTTAAACTTACAGTACCCTATCGGCGCCGTATTAAATGAGAGAGTTAAAAGAAAATTTTGCCCTAATATATTTGCGAAACTCTTATTTCTATCATCACGCAATTGATGAACCATGGCGATTGGCTGAACGGCCCCTTTCAATTCTTTTATTACAAAACAAGTGACTGTCAGGGATGGTTAAAAGACATTAAAATTCCTGATTTTTCTGTATCAGTATAGTGATTTAAACGCATGACTAACAAATTATATTGAACTGCTCATGTAATTTCAGCCAGTCGATTGTAACTTAATTATATTTACTAACAATATTAACTAATTAATTATTGTTTTGTATGCGTCGATACTTGTCTTTATATCACAAAAAATCAGAGAATATAAGCTTATTTAATAGCGCCGCCTGCCATGAAAACCAGCTGAGGTATCATTCATTAACACATCAATATCATCCATAAAATGATATCAAATTTACAGCGCTAGTTTTTAGTATTAATAAATTTCAGTATTTCGATAATTCAATAGACAATGCAGGATATACCGTAATTATTACACATAAGACTGTAAATTGCTTTTGTTAGACACCATATCTCACAAACGTTCCTAGATTTTAGGCCAAAAGGTAATCAAAACAAGTTTTTGTTATACTTACTAGCCATATTCCTACATCGAGAAATAAGATGTACTATACTTAAAAAAGAGAAATGGAATTACTGTAATTATAACACCAAAGTTAATAATCAGAACACGTTATTTAGAGCAGGATTCGCTTTCTTTCAGATTGCTCAGCTCAATGGCAAATAACTAAACTTCTTCCTTTGATCAAGTATAATGCAGATTTTATTTTTTGATATTTTAATGTAGAATTAGATAGTATATTTAAGCCGGTTAATACCTACCAGCGCGATGTCACTAAATTCAAGTTAAATACGCTATACAGAAATGCATTCCTAAGATGAATAAAACAATGAAGTGTAGCTGTTTGTTTAGCATCCACCCCTGATGCATAAAAATAATCCACGGTTTGCATCTTAACTTAACTACAAGCACGGTAAATGATAGAATTCAGTACAGAGTATAGTAGCTGGAACTACTGCTACTTACATAATTATCTAATGATATAAACTATTCATCCTTACGAAGATTAAAAGCTCTGCAGCAAGAATTTTAACATTTTTACATAGTAGTATTCAGTATCTACTGTATTTTCTCGTTTTATGACTTATTTAGTGAATTTTATATTTTTTTTCTAGAAATTATCTCTTGATATCAACCTTTCCAACCAATACTAGGTAACAGTTGTTTATTCTTCTAATAGCTGTAGTAAAGAATTAAAAAATCAGCCTAAAGGTTTTACTGTACATTTCGTTGAAAATGTGTTAAATCATAGCATTTAAAAATAATATCTTACTAGTAAGTGATTAGCACTTAGGTTAAATCCATGGCAAATTTGCTCTATGACCGTACGCAAAGTTGATAACGAATCTTCCCTACAAGCAAATGATAAAAAATTAATAGCTACTACGTGTAACATAAACGTCTATCCAATAGGCAATACGATAGCATACCAGACAGTGTCAGCAAGCAATTCCATTAACCGATCGATCTGATAATTTTGTAATGACTTTTCAAAGGTCATCAGTGCTATATATAGTTGATCAGCCGCGTAACATCGAACCTAGTCATATACATATTCGTAAACATATATTACTATTTTACCTCATAAAACTACATCAATTATATAAACCATTTCAATTACCTTTGGATATTTATTCATCAAATATTTTATAATCAGTGGAATTGATCGCTTTCTGATTTTATCCGGAAATTCCATCATGGCGCAAGTACTGGCACACAAACAAGAAAACAATGTAACCGATATTGTCCTAATCATCGACAAATTATAGAAAGTAATTACGCGCTAATAATAACTTCAGTCTTTATAACGTCAGTTGAAGTCACGCTTTCTACTTCCAACATATCCATGACCCCCAAAAGAAAAGGATGACTATATGATAAAATTTTGCGTTACATGATTAAGTATGAATTATTAGAACTTGGCACAGGTTGCTGTATACATTAAAATTCGAAAAAGAAGATCGAAAGTGTGTACCAATCGTTATCCATAATTAATGAAAATGAGTCATTCAAGAGTAGAAAATCCGTCATACATAATAATGGAAACACAATCCTGTAATCATAAAATTAACTTAACGTTAAATTATTAATGAAATTTTACGTGTGTGAGCTGTTCAACAATTCAATTAGTATGAAATATGTACATGTAGCAATAGAAAGAACTATAGATGTAAGTAAATGAAAGAACCTATCCGTTCGACCATTATTCTTATAAATAGTTGTTAGTGTGTTCAAAAAATCTTCAAACTGTTCTATATTCCTATTTAATGAACAAGTTATTAGCAACAAAAAAATTAGATTTATTTAATGGTGTTTAAAACGGACAATAGCAATATGATGAAAATGATTCGCAATAAAATCGGGATTTACATACTCGCTAGTAGATTCTCTTAAATAATTGAGAAGAGAACGTCGGGCGTGGTTGCACTACAAGATTGCAATAATTGAAAAGAGCAGTGTTATATTTGTGCCTGTTAGTTAACTAATATTTATTAACTTAACAGCTGATTTATCTAATACAAGGCTCTAACATATATTTAAAATAAGCAACGTCTGTAGAACACACCATTGATTCAGATACATAACCACCACTGCTAACAACAATTCCAGATAATACAGGATATGTATATTCTTTCATAGGCAATATTTTTATCAAACGTGAGAATATATCAGCTGATCTTCCTCTTCGAAAAAAGTCCGGAAAGTTTCTGGTAGATAGAATATTACCGTATATCAGCGCAATAGATTTTAACAGTAACCGATAGTTTATTTAAATAGTCTATATTAGTACTTTGGAAACAGTTTCTGAAAAACTTTCAACCCAGGAATTTTTTTTGTATCAGACCTACAATTAAAATTGAAAGTTTAATAAAATGAAAATTTATATCATCTCGGTTTAGAAGATTTCAGCTGTTAGGACTTACACTTCAGAGTGAATTAATCTTATGAAAATAGCACCAGCATGCGCCCGCGTCCTATCCATTTTTTCCGCTGTTTGCTGTAATAAACTGCCAATAAATAGCTTCCAACTGAAATAGGTGGCACAATGATATGCATTATGAAACGATTACACCAGTCCTATACTTAATAAAGCGAATACTGTGGAATACTCTCCGATAATACTTACTCATCTCTTTTAATAAGTGATGGATCTTGCCTAGATATGTGAGTTAAGAGAAATTCAATGCCAGACATGGCAGCTTCTCGAACACTACATTAAAAGTAAATAAGTTATGACGTGTACATAGTTATCAACAAATAGATAAATAAATAATCGACTTTTGCAGTCTCGTGTGAAGGAGTATAAGTTGCACAAGAACATTAACGTTGCTACATTAGTTATCATACATATATCCAACATCGCCGCGCGAATTAGAACTGTAGTCAGTCATGGCTTTCATTAATCCATCAAAGAGAAAGCGAACTATATCATTATTTATAGCAGTTATCCCATCACAATCACCATCAACTGGGCATTTTCGGACAATTCTATGTAAAATGTAAGGTTTGTTTATCAACTAATTGCTAAACATATTATCTATCTGAATATGTACGTAAATTCTAAATTGAGCTTCACATCAATGAAAATATTCTTTCAAATTAAACAAATAAATTTATTATCCTTATCGTTACAAAGTAGGAACTGCAGTAGATAGTTTACTTTTCAATAGCTTTTATAGCTGATTTGCGTAATTTGCTATCGTAAGCTTCCCCACACGAATCAAATAAGATAGCTTCAAGTAGATTTCTTAGTATCTATATTTAATACCAATAATAATATTTTACAATGGAAATGACGATTGCAGTGTGACGATAATCGATCAGTTCTTCATTCATTACTTACGTATTGCAATTTACTTTCTAACATAAATTTTGGTAGCGAGCCAATAAGGACTGCATGTTTGAATCTAAATTATTTGTTACAGTAAATCAAAAATTGTTACTTTTAATCTGAAAAAATATAACATTTAGTAACACATATTTGTTGCTATTTGCTCTCTATAATTAATCAGAGTCGATTTTTAACTGATACTCGGAATTCTTGCATAACTATTTTTGGTGATATATTAACCTCTTGGATTGGGCATCATTTCGAAGCTGGTAAAAGCAAAAGCTAAGTGCTTCTTCTGCAAAAGATTAACGGTCGCATAATCAAACCTTCATTCATTTTATCACCTTTGCAACTCTGGTCCATTACGTTATAACTACAGGCTTTAGTTTTCAATCTGTAGTTTAATTAGGAAAATTCACAGTAGTAAATTAACTCTATCTTACTCTTCGCAACTTCATTTACTTCACCATTTTCCAGAAGAAAAAATATCCTTGCGATATGTTCGCTTGATAAATCCTAATCCAGTAAAAATTTTATTTTATTAATTATTACTAGGATTAACAGTAAACTAAGCGATCGATGGCAAAATAGGTGTCGCTATCTGGTAGCTTTTGGGGGAAATAGGAAGAAATCTAATAAAATTATATACGATAGAAATATCGGTATAAAGTACTCGGCTGTAATACTCAATTTTTTAGTCCTTAATATGATTGATTACCTGTATATCGATATCTCTGCTAGGAAAAGTGTGGTATAGAATTGGTAGCCATTGATCTGAAACATATGTTCAATGGTATCGTATTAATTCGAATTGTACACAGACTGCGGTGGCCATATTTAGATGAGAATTCTGCAGAAAAAGGAACCTGGAGATTTCTAAAATTTTCGAAGTATACATATCGAGCAAGAGCAGCAGTGATTTATCAGTCCTATACTTCAGATTAATCATGTGTAGCCGAATGCGTTGATTACGTTACTGTAGAAATGCCTGGTATTTACACGTATGGTTTAAACTTTAAACTATTAAAGTCTAGCAGCAAGCGAGCGGATAATTAATCAATCGTTGTTATTGACTTTTACTAAGTGGAGGTACAGTAGGTTTACTGCTTAATTTGTTTAAATTTACCATAAGTCCGTGGAGGAATACAGCATGAATTAGTCATTATTTCATATAATCACACATAAACAAGAGAATTTATGAATTTTTGAGATAATAAGCAGAGCAATCTCGTTCTTCACCGTTCTTCTGATATTTACGGTTGTTGTGATGATTGCTGTCATTATTGACTGAACTCGATCGATTTTATCGTTTACATTGTTTAGAATAATTATTTTAATGCATGTACAGTAAATAATGAAATTGGGTAGGGTAATTGGCATCTTCTTCAGCTATATCACCGATGTCAAAGTTTTTTCTACTCATGCCAGGTGTCCGGAGGGCTAAATCATGACATATATATTTTAACTTACAGAATGTAACAGCAAGAGCTAGAACGACTCATTCATGGTACAAAATTTTAATCCTTATTCTTCATATACGTTATCGTACCATAGTTTTATTATGAAGCAAGAGCCAATCAATTAATGTGATCCAACTCTTTCACGTTTTGTCGACGTGGCAGGTAGTAAATACCTACAACGCAGAGTAAATCATCTGATGCTAAACCCTCCTTACCTGCAAGATCCATATCCGGCATCACCGAACAAATAATTCAGCACTACCTGCTAATCAAAGTGATAGCTTGCTTCTCTGCTTGTACACGAATCCAAGAAGTTGTTTACAGTTCACCAGTGCGAGAGTTAAGAAGCCGCAAAAGTTTTTTATTTATTATTATCAAATGATTTCAAAGTCGGACAGAAGCTGACAGCCCAGTTTAGCAGTGTTGACGTTGTTGATGGATTATGTCATCTCCTGTAGCGGTTTCAAATAGTACAGTGCTGTACCGACAGAAATGTAGAGTATTTAGTACTGTACGATAATGAGGGTGTCTGATAGGTCTTTCCCGACGATTGAAACTATATGAAATTATAGTTTTAAGTCCTTATTAGACAAATTTGGTATTATTTGATTAGAAATAAGACGTTTTATGTGAATATGTAATTTAAAGTTACATTAAATGTGTTACAGCTACTGCTATTAGCATTTCGAGTCAAAATACTATATAAATTCTGGCATTTTTCTACAATACGTTGTACTGTATACAGTACTGTACAGTACTACTGTAGGGTCTCGAGTAGCTATGGTACGCACGTACTGTACTGTACGCACGTATGAAATTATACTGTAGTTTGAAGTCCCTATTAGACAAATTTGGTATTGTTTGATTGGAAATAAGATGCTGTATGTGAATATGTAATTCAAATTTACAGTACATTAAATGTGTTAAAGCTACTCATAGTAGCACTTCAAATCAAAAATACTTATACTGTATACTGTAAATTCTGGCGTTTTTCTACAGTACGTTGTACTGTACTGTGGTTGACACACGACCGTACAGTACAGTCAGTACTGTACCAGTGTACCTGCGGTACGCACAGTGCATTACGGTACAGTGTACGATGCATAGTACTGTAGCCCACAGTACACAGCGTAAAGCTCTGAACGGTAGAAAACACATTTGAAAATCCCGGGTCTCTATTTCCATACTGATTGTATTGTGTAGGATAGAGGTTGAAAGGCTATAGTAAAGCATGGTAGACTGCCAGGTCCTGTGTCCACCGCCCAACGTCCACGGATGACTAGGTAGCTAAAAGGCGGTACTGTTCACACTTGGCCAGCCCATAGTATTCATTAGACCGACTCATCTCCATTGCAATTTTCTAAAGATGGCTTATCCTGGAGACGAGATTGATACGGAATATATACAAAACATCCATGAATTCTGTGTGCATAGCAAACAATTAGAAGATTTAGCTAAGAAAATACCTTCGGTTTGTAGCGATCTATCTGGCAGCGAGGATGCATATGAAAATTTCTCTGGTAAGAACTTTCTGATAATGCTAGTGTTGAAAGATTTATATACAATTGGCTAGCAGATGTTGAGATTGTATAGGATTACTTTTGTCGATAGCAACATTGTTTGTAAAAATAATGTAATTGATATCATCGCAGAATGAATTGCTATTACAATCAATAACAACTGATAGAGTATTTAGATACTGATATAGATGTATAGTACAGTGTGTAAAGAAACATTTTAGCTGGTATATTTTAATAAAGTCTCATTTTAAACATTTGATCGCAATCTATCTAGCGATACTCGACGAATATCAAGAGCAACCCCACTTACTGGATCCTCATTTAGGTCAGCTACTATTATTCTCCATCATATACAGTACTAGTAAATTGGTAAACTAGCGACCAAGGAATACTAGAATTATTTCTTTATTATCTTCTATTTGTGTAATGGAAGAATCTTGCCTTTGTTGATGTGTCATTCATTTTGTAATAATCTGATGGTATAATTCATTTTAAATTTTTACAATGCTATACTACGTATTCATTGATGTAGCGTGATCGCGATCTTACAGTCATTGTAAACATATGATGGACGCAAAATTGATCTGTTTGTAGAATCCCTCACGAATATCCTATTGGATCAAATCAGAAATGGTGACAATAATGATGATCAGATCAACCTTGCTTTCAAATACATCCATTGGATATCAAAGGTAAGCGTATTATATGCCATAGTATTTATGCCCCATTACATAAATGAAGTGATTGCGTCATATTTTATTAAGATATAACAAAATGTGATGTTAATCTACATCATCACTGCAGTTGCATTCTACCGTAGATTATGAATTTATAATTATGGTGAAAGAAAGGATGATAGGATATGATAAAATCGCTTAACTACTGTAATAAATATGTAATTACACTTATTATGGTCCATTATTATACATAACATGATATTGCAGTACTTGATAATATGGATATATTTTTGCCGTAAATACTAAAAATTATTAACACATTACATGATATATCTTCAAACTTAGAGTTTTAAGATGCGATCGGTATACTCTATTTGACAAGTAGATGTAATATGTAATAATCTTGTATAACTATCAGGAAAGATAATTCGTAGATAACAAATTCTCTAGCTAGTAAACTTAGTATAACCTGGAATTAATGACTAAATTCTGGTAGGTGCGAGGATATAAGCATGTGGCACGATTATTTCCACATGAAGTACCTGATTTAGAGCCTGTACTGCAGTTACTTATGAAACAAGACAAGAATGATGCCGAGGTATACCACGTCTTCATATATCTATCATTTAAAGCTTTTTTCGCACTGACAGTCCAATGACAGTATGCATTCTATATTGGATTCAGTTAGTTACAATAACAACTTTGATACTGAACATTAAAATTTTACGCTTTATTATTAAAATCGAATAACTACTAATAGGCTTACAATCTACTTCAACATCTATAATTGCATTTAGCACTGGCAAAGTAGATACATCTTGCTACTGTGGCTTTCTGTTGTATGTATGGTTCCATTTGACATGGCACGATTCGATGGCACTAGGGATGAAAGACCTATTATAGAACGTATTATGGATACAGCCAATGTGAGTACAGTTCAACCGTAGGTACTATATGATTTATAGGTAATTTACTTATCAAATTGATTTGTTTTTTGGCATCGAATAGATGTATCTAACCGTATCAGACAAATCAAGAGATATGGCTGGCATCGTTCTTGCAAAGTATGACTTCCTTTTGAGTCTTTAGAGTTAACAAATTTTTAGTAAACCTTAATACTGGTTGATGTGCAGGTTTTTATCACGCCCTGATGTTCGAGATAGAAAATTAGATACTTTTATGAAGACATTATTACAAAAGTCAAAAGAAGTTGATGGTTAGATCTCATTATGTTGCTATTATTTTTAAATAAAATTTTGCTTATCCTAATTGAAATCGAATTTTATCAGTTACCTTAATGACAGGCATGGTAGAATTAAGCGGGTATTTATCTGTCCTTGTAAGTAAATATTTATTCTTCGGTGAATTTATAAAAGTTATAGATAACTTCTATAAATATTGGCCAAGTCTAATTAAATGCTTATACTGCATTGACTTTATCATAAGGCTTTAATATATAAGCACGGGAAGAGAACTGATGTACTTCCATATGGTAATATATATGTATTTATTGTAGTTTATTAACAAAAACCGATTGTTAATTCAGACTTGTTATCAGTATAATAAAAATTGAAAAATATTAAAGCTGCTTTATGTTGCGTCTTTACTAGCTAAAGCAGTTCTCGATACTGTGATTTCATTAAATTTAATGGAAAGTAGTAACACATTACTAAGAAAATATAGTATCAAGATTATCCAGGTATGTAAATTGCATACAGAGGTAAATATTGTAAATGGAATGACTACTAGATCATTACAGTTGTACTTTGACTGAAATTTACCCTTTTATAGATTTATAGTTTTTACCATGATATATATACACTAACCTATGTCCTATTAGTATTTGCCCTGCTCAATAGAATAATACGCATTTGTCTATAATCTTGTTACAGCGTATAGGATTGGCCTTTTTGAAGGCACGGATTGCTTCCTGGAGGTAGATATTAAGCTTCAAAATGCAACAGTGCTTTTTTATAAAAAATGTCATGATAATGCAATATGTAACGTATACTTTTGATATCAAAGATATAAAAGGGGTACCAGGACGCTGTTAAATCTGAAAGAAACTTCAGATAAGGTATTGACAGATATTTCAATATCTAATAAGTATTTAACAATTTGTTCTGCAACCTACTAATTAAATTACGACCAAATTTGATGTGTATACTACAGAAAATGGATGGTACGCCTGCACAAACGGTAAAAAAAATGCTACTTTATTGGAGGCCTTTTCTGCGTGTGCATAGATGTCCATTTACACTTAACTTATATTTAGATAAGTGAGGATGTACCAGTCGATGATGAGGAATACGACGTTCCAGAAGAAATCGAAGATATTTTAGGTGCATTAATAGATTGTATCAGAGAAAATAATATATGTTACACTAATTCTTTGTGTTCTCGAATTAATACAAACCTTTAGAACAATTGCTAAGTGGCTTGAAAGATAAAGACACTGTTGTACGATGGTCAGCTGCGAAAGGGTAATCATTTAGAGTACAAAAAAATTCTTGAAAAATTGCAGTCCTGACATAAGTAATACTTTTAAGTGTTGGAAGAGTTACCGGAAGATTGCCTCTAGAACTTGCTGACGAAGTCGTCGATTCAATATTACGTCTATTTAAGTAAATGTTGCTTCATTAAATATCAATGTGAATTCGTAATTTTTATTCGAAACTTACCTAGATAAGCTGGTATACCAACTTTTTTAATCTAATTTAAAAATTCATAGCTTGGGCGAAGGTGATGGTGCTTGGCATGGTGGTAGGAGTTTTGATTACTGTTTTAATGCAGATATTAAGAGAATCCTACTCCTATACATATTTGGTTTATCATAAATTCAGGTTGTTTGACCTTAGCCGAGCTTGGTAGGAGAGGTTTACTGTTGCCTGAACGTCTTAAACAGGGTATGTATTAACCAAGATAAACAATTTGATACTTCATTTATTTAATTTTGCTCATGTCCGTTCTTATCATCGCAACAATAGTTGTTCCTGTTGTTAAGAAAGCACTGATATATGACGTTAAAAGGGGATCTTATAGTGTTGGTTAGTCTTTATTGATCGTGGATAATATGTTTGGAACAATATAATCAGCTAATTCTTGCCCAAGCTTATATTGCTGCACTTGTATAATCTAAATTTTAGGTTCTCACGTAAGAGATGCGGCTTGTTATGTATGTTGGGCATTCGCTAGGGCTTACGAGCCGAATGATATCAAACCATACGTTACTGATATTGCTAGGTATGTGCATTTATAACGTCTACTTAAAAATCTTTTTAAAATTTTCGCTGACTAGATCACCTTTCTAGTGCGTTAGTAATCGTTTCTGTCTTTGATCGAGAAGTGAACTGCCGAAGAGCTGCCTCTGTAAGTCCATTTATAATTAATAAATAAGTATCGGTTATAATTGATTTTGCGTATATTTCTTATTAATCGACTCATCTTCTAAGGCTGCCTTCCAAGAAAACGTAGGTCGACAGGTATAAACTAAAACTATGATTTACGTGTCATGTCATAATAAATCTTCGAAGTTGATATTTTTGACGAACAACAAGCAGTAAATTGAAGGTTTTAATTGCATTCTAGGGAACCTTTCCGCACGGAATAGATGTCATCACAGCAGCTGATTTCTTCTCCATTGGCCATCGTGTAAATGCTTATCTAAATGTTAGGTAATAATTTAAGCAATGACATAATTATAAGTGCAATGAATTGTGATAGTTTTACATTTGAGTTTAATTTCGCTCCTAGTGTAAATTTAGCGCAGTGTGAAGAATATACGATACCCCTTATTGACCATCTGTTGCAAACTAAGATTAGCCATTGGGACATGTACGTATTAGTCAGTCAACTAAACTGTAACATTTGCTATTTACTAAAATCTCTTTTATAATATGCTAGTCAAATCCGTTGCTTGACTGCATCCGCGTTACATAACTTAACTCCAAAGGCTCCTGAGCATGTCAGAAATAACGGTAGTACACATATTTCTCATAAAATAAAAACTAAAAATTTTATTGTAACCATAATATAATAAAATTTCGTCAATAATATCCTGTGTTAATATATAATGTCTTTACTTACAGTCTTACCGCAGCTATTATCGCAAGTAAATTCTATCGATGTATTTAAACGTCATGGAAGTCTAGTTGCTGTAGCTGAGATCATTTTTGCCTTTCATAACCTTGCAATTTCCGAAAATAAGTAGGCTAACGAGATCGTGAACTTGTATACTTGATCGACTTAGATTGCTACGCTATTTTTAAGCATATACCCATATTCTATACGCATTATTTATAGATCGATATCACAGTTTATTGATCGACATGTTCTTGATGAACTTAAGAAAACTACTATACAGGTAACAGCGATATGTATGTTAATGTATAATTTCTTTATCTACACTAGTGATAAGTTACTGATTGGGAGTATACTAATTTTATTTTGCACGTTCTAGATAGAAAGTTCCAATGCCTTTAGGTGAGTATAACACGTTTTATTTCTTTTTACAGCTACTTAATCACTGAGGCTAATAATTGTATATCTGTGATATAAATTTTAGGGCTGTAGGTGGAGACCTAATGAGATCTGCGGGTGAGTTGGAACGCCTATTATTGGTAATGGTGTGATTTAGGTATTTTAATAATTTCATTCTGATCACTAGTGTGCCGATTGATTGAAAGGATTTCGCAATCGAAACTTTCCTATTATGACGATCCTGTCATAGGTAATATTTATTGCGGTAGTATGTATTTGGTATATAGATTTACATGTCCATCGATATAAGCATTTCAAACCCAATAATTTATAACTAACATCTCCTGATACAAAGATACTTGGCAAAATCTTATTAAAGATGCTCTTGCATATACGGACTCAGAAGTTAGAGTAAGTGCTTGACAAAATTGTAGAAGTATTTTTAGGAAAACCTGCAAATTGTGAATTATTATGCTTAGAACAAAGCCGCATTGGCTTTGCATGCTTTAACGGCTGAATACTATCAAAACAAAGATGGATCGGTAAAAGTAGATAAGAGAGGTAACATTCAGAAACATAATGATCTAAGCAGCCATAGCAAAGTGTACGAATATTATTCGTATAACCGAAATATGTTTCATAAATTTTTGTAGATGCACTACTACAACATCTTTTCTCAAATTTCTCAAATGATATTGAGCATATTAGGTTAGCAAAATTTCAATCAAGTTACTCTCTAAAAGAGTAATTATTTAATAATACAATAACCGTAATTTTCGTTAATATTTAGATCTGGATTTATAAAGGCTGTAGGCTGTTTGCCAAAGTTGTTAATAAGTGATAGATTAAGTCAGGTAAGTAACTATGGAATTCTCACATATCTACCCGCTTTTCATTTTACGTACGGGCTGATTTTTTGTTTCGGGTTTCTTGAAAATAGATACTAAATAATGTGATAAAGGCTACATTGATTAGAAAACCAATTGATGCTAAGCTATCTGAAACCCGAGCTGAAGCAGTCACTGCTCTAACAAAGTTCGTATGCATTATTAGGCCAGTTATTCACTGTTAACCAATATGTAATATATCATTTATTTTGAATATGTAAACACTACTTGAATAGTATCTTTTCTACCGTTGGCGTACAAAAGTTTGGTAATATAGAGCAGTGTTTCTGCCTGGATAATATTCCTAGCGCCTATAATGCTCTACTAACAGCCCTTAATGACTATACCATTGACAGTAGAGGTGATGTTGGAGCATGGTTAGTACAGATATTAAGCAAGTTTATAATTAGCAAAACAGAATCTTGGCGTAAAAATTAAATAAAATTCAAATCGCTGTTTGCTATGTAGGGTACGAGAAGCAGCCATGGGAGCAGTTGAAGTCTTCACTTCTCTAATAGTCAAGCATGATGCTTCACTTCTAAATCCAGAAACGTAAATATTGCGCGATATTTAGGTTTAAGGAGTTTAATGTCGCTGAAAACTGAAAATTTCTCTTAATCTCTTTTGCATATGTCCACTCTATGGTAGAGTTAAGAAAATATTTAATAATTTATTACAACAAGCATCAGAAAAAATTGATAGAACGCGTGACATAGCCGGCAGAACAATGTTAAACCTTTTATATCATGAGTGAGCCTATAGAAACTTAATGAAGCTGGTATACGCACACTATGACTAATTCTTTTCATTTTTATTCCTCTTTTTAAATTTACATCACAGACCAACTATTCCTCATATACCACACTTTGAAGAACTGAAGGAAATTTTTCCTGAGTAATAATTGTAACATTTTTTACTTTGGCGTAGTGTTTCTGTACCTAAGCCAATCTTCTAAGTTACTTCTGCTTTTATGATCTGTTATTCCTGGCTATAGGACTGACATTCGCTTTTTAAATTGGACTTCTGCCTCATTGGCATTTTCACGGACCGTCCGTACTTTATCCCTGATGTCTTATAAATATCACGCTTTGCTAGGCTTGATCGTTAGCGTTGGTGGTTTGACGGAGTCATTGGTAATACAAACATTTTGACGAAAATATCGTTATAATATCTATATCTAACCACGTAAAATCTTATCACGGTTCCTTTAGGTTCAGCACTCATCGGAATGCCTTACTGGTTATTTGAGGGAGATAGGAAATAAGTAGGGTCATGTTCATACTTTCGTTTATTCGTATGCAACAGACATAACTCAGATTACCTGTTTACTTCTTTTCACTCAGTGAACAGAAAATGCAGGACTTTTGCCAGACAGTTTTAGAAATTTATGAGAAAAATCTTCAGAACGACAGGTACCAATGTCAGCACTACGAAAACCTATAGATATAGATGCTTTTTTTTATCGTTTATGAAAAGTTACAAGCCATATTTTTTCTAACTCACTAATAACATTTCTAGAGTTACAATACCCTTATTAAATACTCTTGAAGTTCTGCTAGCCAACTCGTCATTTGGACTATTTCTTGATGTCGATGAGTAGGCGCAACATTGATGATTTTTACTACAATTTGTTAATTTTCGACATTTATCTATTCTAGTATCAGTTGTAATTTCTGCTCATTTTGCATTTACAGCCATCCTTTTCCCACAAAATTATATTCTTTAACACGAGCTGAAATATCAAAAACTCATCCACAGAAGATGGAATCCGCCATTAATGTGTAACTAGTTATAATTGATGGGCTGTAACATTGTTTTAACCTTAGACGTTAAACTAGCTATTAGCAACAAATTGAAATTGTAATCTAAATTTATTTTAAAGGTTTTCGGGATTATTAGAATTCAAGGGTAAACTTAGAAGAAGTATTATGCAATACATGATGATCTTGCTTTGCCATCGTCTCCCTTGGGTTGGTTTCTTTGCATACAAATATAAACCTGTATAAATTAATAGACTGCATAAATAGATTATGTAATTATAGTCTTGAAAGTTACTCATATTAGTTTTGATACTGTATACTACTGGATACATTTTATGCATCTAATTGAAATTTTTAGGTCAGAAAGAGTGCCGCTGATCGTTTCTACATGGCTTCTCTAACTTTTGACGACCTCATTGACGATGAAGCTCAAGCTGAAGCCATGGACATCCTGACGGAAACAATTTGGTTTGTATTTATAAAATTAGGATTGACCTTAGTATGAAGTTTTTGTTTGGTAGCTAGTAATGTACACCCTGAATACTGTAGGGATGATGACGTTGCGACGTTAAAACCGCCAAGGAATAGGTTATGTGAACTCCTAAAAATACCAAAGCCTGTTCAGAAGGTGGGAATATATTTTAGATTGCAGATATTATATTGCAGATTCTTACCTTCGTACTTCGTTACGTAGAGGTCAGCTACGTCAAGTAAAGTGAAGGCAAGAGATTCTACTGATTCTGTTTCAGCCAACACCCGTGGCAATTGTAAGTAACCCGAGAGCAAAATTCTGGTTATACTTTTAAAATTCTTTCATTCAAACGAATAAATATTTATTCATTTACAGATGCCGCTTCTAGGCTGACATAACTGCTTAGGGATGTAATGATTAATTACTAATCAGCTGAAATTAGTATCTTAGTCGTTATCATCTGAAGGAGGTAGAGGAAACTAAAATTTAATGTATCTGCCATTTATGAAAGACATCGTGCATAGTAGCACTTGATAACGATCATCCGTTTTCGATTTTAGCAAATATAAGGCTTATCGTTAAAGAAGTTTTTAACCTTATGCCAAACTGAGAATGGTTTCTTGTATTTTGTTATTATATACAAATATTTGCAGCGGTGTTACGGAGCAAACCACCGTACATGTTAATTAAGCAGATTTCGCCATGTAGCTAATAACAATACAGTAAACAGTAATTATGAATATTAATCGTGTATAGTTTTGCTAGACAACCAGGATGTAAGCGTGTTGTGAAATTAATTGGTATAATCTTTATAGATACTAATATTGGCGTCACCTTAGCACCCGCCGCGAATTGCGAGTAATGTGCGAGTAGCGTGCTGAGCCTCGTTCGTTTAATTGGCTATTTATTAGTTATTGCCAATTAAAGTTGTTTACTAATTGCATCTATAGTAAACTATATAGTTTATTGAGGGTTGTTTCCCTTTACGAACCACGGTTCATGTAAATGTTATATTGCTAAATTACTATGCGTGAACCACAAGTTTTGTGGTAGGGTATAAAAGGAGGAACGAATGCTCAGCTCTACAGTTCGTGATTAGATAGCGTTTCGACTACTCTATTAGTAAAACTATACTAATCTCTTAGAACAGTCTTATTCCTGTGTGACGGTAAGTAGTATAAGATTACCACACAGTAGACCTCCGGGTGTAGCGGAATAAGAATAAGTAATCTATTAGTTTAGGGTAGTAGTTCGCAAGTTTGTGACAAGGGGATACATAATGGTAGAGTGGCTTCCAATATTTGTAAGCTGATCATTTTATTACTTGTGAAAATGTTTTTAATACGTGAATATGTATATGTACGTTCGTGTTTTACATGCAATAAAATTATCATACTCTTAAATATGTCATTCTTCGATTAATGAGTTATTCCATAAAAATTAGTAATTGTAGCTTTCAAGTACTCTATACCCTGTATATTATCGTTTCATTCTTAAGTTTCTAAATGAGTCATATCATTCGCTATATCTTAATTTTTGCTAATTTTAATGGACATGTAAAGTAAACATATGTGTCGCACTAAATTTAATATATATTACATCTATATGCAGCTTCACATTCGTAAAACCCCTGCTGTATTACAGTTGTTGATGCCATAATACCAGATTGTATATAATAGTGATAAACTAAAATTATTAATATTAAGTAGAAAATGCGATCTAACTCCCTCTTTTGTAAAGTCTATATACTAAGTGTCCCCTACAACATCATTTCTTTTTGGCTGTGCAAATGAGCTCCTATATCCATGAATAACGATTTTAGTACAACTTTTATTTAAATATTTTTTAGGACGTTGTCCTGGATCACTTGGGTTTAAGTTTGTCTTTGACAAAATATAAAATGCACAAGATGTATTCATCCCTAAAATTTCATCGATTTCAAATGCCGATTGCTTTAGCGTGGTACGCTTCGCTTTAAATATTACAGTGAAATTTTCCAAATAAAAAACACAAGTTAAATCTAAAAAAACATTGTATTTTGAAGTTAATATTTAATAAGCGATTACCTCATAGCTAAATATTCATGTATTCCATAAATTATTTACGTTATAATGTAAAAAAAACATTAATTCGAAATTTCGACTAAATCGTCATCGAATAACAAAACTTTTGTCGATTTATATATTCATAATTTAATAGGTAATAATAGATTCATAATTCATCTTAAGGAAAGTTACTGTCTTTTCCGATCATACTATAATTATATCTTCTCTATATACCTGATACGTTGCTTTAGTCCAATGATATATACTGATTCTTTTTCTTCGATTTGCTAATAGCCAGGTTGAATTTCTTTAAATTTTTAGTATAGGCTAACTCTTCTTCAAAAGTTTTTAAATTTAAATAATTATTGGAATTAATCTTATCAATATTAATGGACTGAACAGATGCAGACGAATGCAAAATATGGGCACTTTTAGTTCGATGTTTCTTAATTTGGCGGCTATCATTATTATCGTTATCGCTATTGCTATCTTTGCTATATGGTTGTCCCACTTTAAAAACCATTTTGGTCATTTGATTGATATTGGAAGACTGTGGGCGATCTAATGCAGCATTCGCACTTTTAACACGGCCAATGATACGCGGCTCAACATACATATCAGAGATGATATTATCAGCAAATCGGATAACTGGTGCTGTGGATGGCCTTAGCTTGGATGTTGTCTTTTGGAAAGTTTTTACGGTCTCAACTTGAGTCTCTGAAGTAGCTCTTACTGACCTAGCAGATAGGCAAGTATTTAAGGTCATATTGTCGTCATCATCTTGTTGATCTTGTCGCTTGCGATATAATTTAGCCGGTGAGGACCTTGGTCGTAAGGTACGATCTTTAGTACCATAAACTTGAGAACTAACGTTTGCAGTCGATGGTCTTTTAAGGTTGGTAGTATCTTTATCTTGTATCACGCATCGCGATGAAAAGGATATACCACTACTGCAACTACTATTAGGTCTACTCTTTGGATTTAGTGTATTTGCTGTTAATGGTCTACCGTGCAAGCCATATTTGCCCGGTGTGACGGTATCATGATGGACGCGATCATTATTTGTTGAAAACGTTCGATTTCTTAATACGCGGATATATGAAGGTGCTAATCGTTCAACCGGTTTATTGTCATGCTGCACAGTAAGTATTTCAACCTTAAACTTGGCTGTTGTAGCATTGTAATCCCAATCCACAGGTTCAAAAGTATAATTAAAGACGTTTCTCATAGTACTGGTAATTAATCTATGAAGATAAACAGTATAACGTATTAGACGATGCTGTCAGTTGTAAATGATATACGCGTATATTGAGAGTCTTATTCAGCTATAGATTTATGATTCATGACCATTACAATCATTATTAACCAAACTTTGCATGATTATATTATGGTTACAACTAATATATGCATTAAAAAAGAACGATATTTCAATTTTTATTCACACTGATTATTACCTATTATCTTGGGCAAATAGATTAAATATAGGATCAGATCTGCTATTGCCTCGCATAACGCGCAAACAATCTCCATTAATAATACTCCAAATACGTATCTAAGGAGTAAAGGATATCAGATTAAGAATAATCAAGCTAACTAAGTCTTATTATTGCTTCAGTAATTCTAATATTTCAGTTAAGATCTAAAGTACGCTATAAAGACTTCACGTAGTGCTTACTTTGCCGTCTTCAGAGCCGGTAATAATTCGGCAGTAATGAAAATCAACCGATGTGACGGCACTATTTTGCAAAATAAAACATTTAGTTAATAAAATTGTAACTATCGAACATAATATTACAATGGAAGCCAGTACCGGTATGTTATAGCATACTACGGTAATTATGCTGTGGTAAAATCGATAACACTGCAATGGATCAAGTTCTAGGACTGTAAATAAACTTTAACACCGATCATGAATATGTAAAGCGCTGGAGCTTAGTGTGTATAGCGTAATTAGTATTTATAACTATTCCGAATTAAGTACTAATTATTTATCTATAGACATGCTGTTTACAGTGCTTATAAGATTGATAGACTAATAACCAATGCGTATGAAGACTATACACAAGGAGGATACTAAAACGGTAAGCATTAACTTAAATGTTAAAGGTTCTAGTAGTTTTAACATTGCAATACACTCACTTGGGATGCCGAAATGCACCAAGACAACCTTTATAATTTCCAATAGCACTCCATAAGAAAGCATAACCATCAGATCCACCGCTAACAAGGTGATATTTGTCTAATTTGATACAATTGACTGGCCCGACATGCCCTTTTAGCGACTAGATTTTATAGAGTAGCAAAGCGAGGTAAATATTAATTAGTTTTCGTTAATACTGTACCTTAAATTACTTTTGAAACACTATTAGCTAGATAGTACCTGAACATTAACCGATGTTTTAAATTAAAGACATAATGTATTATTCTACCTTAATTAATTTTCCTTTGATTACGTCCCACACTTTCACTCGACCACCTTCGCAGCAACTTGCAACAGTGTCATCGAATATCTATAGATATATCAATAAATTAATTCAATCTGGATTATAATTATAGATCTATCATCTCACTACAAAACTACAAAATCCATATATGCAGCAGGCGACAACTAAGCTAACGATGAGTTAAGTGTACAAGTATAACGATCTTTTAATTTACTTGCATCATTTGCAAGTACTATTAGCTTACCTTGACATCAGATATGACATGCCTATGCTTGAAAGTCCGCCTACATCGACCGGTAAATATATTCCACACTATAGTGCCCATAAAACAATACGTAGCAATAATTAGAGAACATCTTCTGCTTTAAATTTTTGTTCTATATTAAGATTTAAACAACATATTAGAAATAATAATTTATTTATCCTATACTGACCTTTCACTTGTTTATCGCGAGCACCAGAAACGGGAATATTATTGTGCAAATCAAGGCAAGTAATTGTTCCTTGATGGCTAAGAGCATGGAAGTAATGTTAATTTCATGAAGAAATTGATGCAAATACGAATATAAATCAAATCTACTTATCGAAATACTGTATATTTTGCAATACACTGCTACGAAGACAATTCAATGGCCAAATAAATTAAAACTTACCCACGAAATATCTTTAAGAATGTGCCTGTGGCTAGAGACCAGCACCTGTATAGTTTTAAGTCGGGTTTTGACATAAAAATTATTCAGTAATCATCATCTAGGCCATTTATCTACTACAATTAGACATATAGCATAAGTACATAAAATTTTTACCTAATTGTAGTATCATAGCTACCACTTAATATGTAACCCTCTTTCTCACACATGTAGAGAGCCCTGATTGAGCCTGCATGACCATGAAAGACGCGTACTAATTTGCCATTCTGTGCATGGAGTAATTTGATTCTACGATCGACTGATCCTACTAGGATATACTCGCCACCACCAAAATGGACAATCCGATGTTTATCCAATCTATTTACAAGTATAACATAAAATAATGATTAGCATCTAGTCTCGTAATATAAACAAAAATTTTGAAGTGAATCATGCTTGCAAATATACATTGACTTACTGATCTGAAACGACAATGAGATTATATGCATCACAAAATATGTTTCTTTCATCCATTACAACATCTATAGTCTTAACGCCATTATAGGCATGCCTTAAATTTCGAATATCATGGAGATGCTTCGGGCTATTTACTGATTCTTTGGTTAATTCAACCTGGTGCGTCCCTTCGACAACCTGGGGAACAGGAACGGGAGTCATAGAGGCAAAACGGATGTTGCATCCTCGAGCGGAGGAACCCTATAGATCGATTTATATATTAAAAGGTCAGAAATCAAATTTTCTATTAATGCAGCTACAAAAGGTCGAATGATAAATTGTAGAGAAATCTGAATGAGTTCATTAACAATAAAAAAAGTAAACCGGGTATTGTATTCTGTTTGTACGTAAAGTTATGCACAGCTGTCACTTTTAATATCTTTATTTTTATATAATTTAGCTATCAATAAGAGCATAATTAACAAAACTATGGAAAACGCCTTCACCTACTTTTGCTAGAGTGAGAGATTATGGCTATCACTATCTGAAAGTAATATACTATCAGCAAACTGCTAGTCAAAATTGTTGTAGGATTTTAAATTTCTCGATACTATTAGCTACAGTAATTCATCAGATATTTACAGACAAATATTATCATTAATGAATTCGTTACAGTTGGTAAAACACTGATTAGTAATTATTGAATTGTAATATCATAATACTTTTAAATACTTTTAAAAGCTTCAGTGTTTTATTAAGAATGGTTAAAGATTAAATAAACGGAAGATATCATTTGCAGTCTAATAAATCGTATACTCATGATGATTGATTAGCGTCGTTACTTACTATTTAAGATTTCGCTCTTTTAACCACAATATTGTACAAGATACCATGCTATACTTATTTAAAAACACTAACTACTTCCGTACTATGATTTCGCTATAAACTGCTCAGGACGCTATATTACTTATTCTATTCTTCCATACCTTCATAAGCATAATTTCTTCCCAAACTTGTTGTTGCAACATATTATCATTTTGGACCTGCTCGACTAGAATTCGCCAATGTTGACTGACGCATAAGCAATTAGCTAAATGGACTCTATCCAACATTCCTAGAATATTCTTAGAAATATGAACAGGTAGACGTTTGATCATGTCAACATAAGTGCATGATCCTGATGTATCGTTGATAACATATTGTGGAAATGAGATTTCTTCATCAGAACTCTGACCATCATCGCTTATGTATTCTTCTAAATTTTCGTCTCTAAAATCTTCAATATTATTATATTGATTGTCGCTATCTTGGATACATTGCGGTATATTGGTCTCTTTACCAGAATAGCTAGAATACGATTTAGGATTTCGGTTATCATTATTGTCAGTCCAGTTTCCATATGTTTGAATTGGAACTGGTTCAGTTATACATGAGCTGTTATCCGATCGAACAGAAATTGCCGTAGAGGGTCTGGCTAATTGCGAGCTTATAACAGTACTTGATCTACTTTCTTTAGCAATTAAGGCAGACCTCGATGAAGGCGATGGAGTTCGAGGAGAAGATACAGTGTACTCTGATCGACTGTCATCATTATGAAAGCTATTTTCGGGAGAAACATCTATGAAGTAAAGATCATTAATTTACTTAGTTAACATCTGCCAAAGCATAGCTGATTTCTTTTTGTAAAGAGTTAACATTACAGTCAACCGATACTACTATTTCTCACCAAAAATTTGAAGTGATATCGATTTATTTTACTTACCTTCTTTAGTTTTCCACTTATGCAGAGCTTTACATTGGCTATTAAGTATGTGTAATAACCTTGTGTCACACCATTGCAAGATGCTTAGCAAAAAATTTATACGCGTCCATTCTTTAGCTGAAGTAAACCATTGCCAAGTTTCGTTGATACAATTAATTACGAAAGATTTCTTAAGCGCTCGATCAGATGGTGATGAAACGTAATCGATTTCTAAACTAGGACTACTACGCGATCTAGTGTAAGTGTAATCTTTTCCAACTAAAGGTGTAAGTAACATTAATAATCTTTCATACGTTGTTTTACAATCAATACGACTCATTAAGCCCATAGTAAAACGACGTTGCGATGCTTCGCCACAACGTGTAAACCATTCTTTAGTTTTATTTAAAACCTGGGTTAAACGGCAGGCTTCGCATTCGCCACATGTTGTAACATCGTACTTGTTAGTTGTACAACGTAATTGTGGTGCATTCGCTATACTAAATGGCGTGGGATTTGGCATTGTCGTTAGACCTATAGGAATACATAAACGATAAATGACGGCTGTTGAAAATCATCAATTTAATAATATATTTAGATATCTTGATGTCAGTGGTATGATATTGTAAAATTGAAATAAAAATCTCTGTTTAAACTTACGTTCAGCTAGATCATTAATGATATACTGTTAGTGCATTTTAATCTAGGCCTTCAGAAGCAATCCAATAACAAATTAGACTAAGTTATTTTGTGATACGTTGTTTTGGTCGGATAATAAATACGCGTATGTCCGGTAATTTCAGCAATATATGCTATTTCTACTTGATTTCCGTGATTGGAACGAATTTCCTATGAGTCTTTAGAAATAAAACGTCCTTTATATCAATTATAAATCCAAGAAATAGTATCTTAAGATCTTGTAGTCTCCTTATACGTATACCATGGATCAATCTCTACTAGTAAATTAAGAAATAAATTAACTCAAGTAAGATGATATTTTATGCCTAATTACATACATCACAATCTACTATTACAGTACAACAGGGAAGGCATGAATGTAGTAACATGTACAGGAAATATATATAGCAGGTACTATAATTTATTGTTTAACAATAATAACGGTCGTTGTTATAGGAATGGACAATGGAAAATTGAACAATGCGTTTCAGTTCAAATGATTGACAATATTTTATTGCCAGGGTCAACGACTGTTGCGTCGTATAGTATCCATACTAGTTACTCTCCAATCAACTAAGTTGATGAGATCTTATACTAGCCAAGATGTATTTAATATAATAAGACGAACCTACTATGCTTTTGTTCGTATTAAAATGTCATAGGCATAATTTAGATTGCCTATGGGGTAGTACATATTGTCCGCACTAAATTATGCAGGATAGTATTAAATTCGGTTCCGGCCGTATTGACTGTGCAAAAAGTTATGTATTAGAAAATGACTGTGTGCGAGTACTTATAAACTTTAAATCGCGCTAGTTCGTTCATATCGTCAGATCAGTATAGTATGCTGTACTATTATAGACCGTTGCCTATACTCAATGCTGTATGTTATGTCGAAAGCATGCTCTAGTACAAACATAACTTTCATTTTAATTGATAATCGTGTCTTGAATGCTGACATATAGAAGTAAGCAGCGTAAAGTAGTACCTACTGTCATATAGTCACTGCACTAAAAGCATGATGATGTGATAATTTTGACTAACATAAGTATCATGAACGCCATATTACAGCGTTCTAGTCATCCGATGAAATTCTATGGGGTAGTATTAAATATCATTTATACTACTTTATCTTATTATTGCAAAATTCGTTAGTTTAAGAATGTTACCACGGCAACGGTCGTCATGACACAAACCACTGCAACAACAGTGGCCGCCATATAACATATTCCATTAATTATCTACTGCTGCAGATCGTTTTGTAATTAATAGGGATTATACCGTGATGGAAACTTCCATCCCGATGTAGGTATAGAATTCCAAGCAAAAACAACAAGAACATATTATAGGCAGTGGAGCGTATTAACACGCATTGTTCTGCTTGAGTCGTGCTAATACGTTTAATACTGTCAACGTCACTAAATGCTACTAAATTATTATTACGGATGTATTAAATAATGATATGGATTGTCCACAATAATCATCTGTTTTATAATGTTGATGAGCTACTGTAGATAACAGTAGCAATACCACTTATGGTGATACTATCTCCCTAGATGCATAGGCTGTGACCATTATGGAATAATACCAGGCTGCCAGTATAATTGAACTGGTACTATTTGTGTACATAGGCTCGATTCTCTTAGATACAGTTACCAGTACAGAGTAACCGATTAAAGTTCAAGTCCTATTTTGTCACATTATCACAACTTTGGTTGAATTATTTAGTTGTCATAATCTTTTGATGGAAATTTACCATCAATAAGTCAAATCGATTGTTCAATGTATTATATTGCAAATACATCGCATAAAATTTAGAGAATAAAATTGGATCCTACTGAAAATAATAAGAAAGAATTGAAGAACTGCAAGTGTAATCAACGCCTCTTCTAACGATTGGTATAATTTACAGATTAATTAACATCAAGTAGTATAGTTCTGTGATTACTGCACGATTTCGTTGATGCAAACTAACGTGTAATAAATGCTGTAGTGATGTTATAGTAGCAGTATTGCTGAAGACAAATATTACTTAATATTAATTGTATTGGATGATTAAGATACAACATATTCACGATTTGTATCTCGTTAAATGTTCTCTTATATATTTATACTTTTAGTTGCTTTGATGATAACTTTAATTGAAATGTTATGTCGAACTAATCAGCAAAGGACTAAATGTTAAAGTGTTTGTAACGCGGCTTTGACGGTTTATTTTGTATTTTTTCTTATTCTATAATGAAATTAACGTGGCATTTAAATGTTTTAAAAGAGCCAAAGACGCGGTCATGTCAGCTTTTGAGCGTGCTAAGGTAGTAATCGTAAAAATTAATATTCCACTCAGATGTGAAATTGCAGTATGATCAAATGAATATGAGAAAATCGTAAATAATCAAATCTTTTATAGAAAGTTAAATTTCTTTATCGCTTTTCTATCATCTTAGCAATATTCTTACAGAGCTTATGAGATAGGTTATCAAATGATTTCATATGCAAATAAATGACCAATAAATTATGTAAAGCTATCAATATCGTTTAACATCCCACACCTAGAAGATAATTGTACTACTCGAAATCTTGTAGATCAATTTTGAAATTTGTTCAAAATCAATCTTAAGCCTATGCACTCGTAATTCTAATCGTTACGTTAAAATATTTTTTAATACCTTAATTTTAACGTATACTTGTGTACAATTTTCTTAGCATTCGGAATCTCCTTTGATGAATACCTCATACATTCGAGGAATTCCATCTCTTCCTCCATTGCCAGCTGTTCAAAATAGACAATCCGATTTGTATGAGGCAAGTATCGTGATTAATTGGAGATTGCATTACCTGTACTTTGAGGATAGCTTTTACAGACAAGAGATACTCAATGAGAGTGATATGATAACTCTTAACCAAAAACAATAGTAATTCCATGCTTCTAAAATAATTAATTAATTAATGGCGTAATAACTTTATTGTGATGGTAGAACATTGTAAATTTTCGTTTGAAAAATTATTAAATCTCGTTTACATTTCGACAGAATCTGTCACTATTTACTGATTTACTTATTTCATGCTATACATTACTTTTCGTTAGATTGTACAAAAACACGGTGAGCATCCACCGATGATGAAAAATATCGGATCATGGACTCAAGCAGCACCATTTAAAGAAGAAAAGTACCATAGAACCCCAACAGAGTGTATTGGTAATAATTACACGCCAACCGCCCGGAATCTTCGTATACAAAATTTATCCAAAAAACGTTTTACCTCAAATGGTAGTGGAACAAATCGTATCTAAATTGAAAGATCTATTTCTATTTATCAACTATCCGTCAGCTAATTTTTACTAATCAAACTTTTACTATATTTACTTCGCTAATTCCTTTCTGTCAAATAGTAAATAACATAAACGTACAATTTATCTTATACGACTGTTTACCTTGACCAAATGGAAATTTCATATTAGAATCCACTTCACCGCGCAATAAGCAAACGTTAAAATTAACTATTCCTCCTTCATCCCCTCGAACTAATGGGCTTTCACATAAAAAGAAGAAGGATTCAGAGTTAGCATATTTTCACATAGAATTACTTTTTCGATGGATTGTACTAATACTCCATATTGTTCACTGATAAATTATATTTTAAAGACTGATGGTATTACCTAGTAGCCCTCCACTATCACCTCAAGAGCAAATCACAGCTACTAGATGGCAAACAGAAGATTATCAAAATAGTTCCGAACCCTCTGAAAAAGATGCTGAGGTAAAAAAACTATTTAATTTTTCTTTTCTTTTATTTTGCATATCGTAAATATGGCTCTAATTTGTACCCTATTTTCCATATTTTAGCGTTACTATTACTATCTCTATAGAGGGATCGACCAGCGAGCCATTGCAAAATATCCAGAAAGCAATTTTACATATATAGAAAACTTAATTACAGATAGACTTATGCAACAGAAGTTGGCACCAGATATTATCAATAGTGTTAAAAGTGAAGTTTTAAACGATTACTACTTCAGCATTCGTACATGCATTGGTAGGTAGAAATAAGTGCCTCCAGCATGACTATGAGCATATAGCGTTACTATTGTATTGTAGCTTGGTATTGTATCAGCTAAGAAATATAATTCTGACTACAAATTATATTACTTTTTAGTCGATTATATATTGAAAGATAATGAAGAAAGGGAACGACTACAAATACACTGGACTCCAAAATCTTTTCCGTCAAGGTATAGTATGATTTAATGTTAGATTAATTCATGGACAACAATAGTATAGCAGTGCAAAGTTCTTTACCCTAACTTATGTTAATGACTTAATTAGTGCTAATTTAACTTGATAGGGAGGTAATAATATTATACTAAATTTTATATAAAATCCAAAATAGAACCATACGAGCACCTGTTCCCTGGCATTCAAATTACATATCCGCTAAAGAGTACATTGAAAGCCATTTGTTCACCATTAATCCATTGTTAATCAATATTGAAAATATTTGGAATGACTGGTAAGAATATATGTAATTAATTATACAACGATGCATTTTTAAAAATCGATTTGAAGCCCCTTCATACAATTGTATAACGCTTCATTCTTCAATGCTATTCTTAATTTAACTTACCCTTTAAATTCGACCCTATACAATAATATCATGTTTTTAATTTTAATAACAGTATGATTGATGTACACAATATAATTAATCAAGGGATAAATAAAATTAAAAATCCGTGCGCGTAAACTTTATTTGAATATCTGCAGTTGGATAATAAATTGACGAAAAAAGCCTCACCATAGGAAATCAAATTTATGTCTATTTATTCAATATCTCCACGTTTAAATGATATTGCATATAATTTGAATAAGCAAATTCCATAGATTACGGTTATTTGATCTCCTCAGGTAATATCAGCACCTCTATCGAAATAATAGCAAATAATAGAATTTGTTGTTTCTCATAGTTATAAGGACACCAGATTCGTTAATGTCGCGGAATTAATCAATATCACATCCTTACCGGATGATCAGTCTGGTCCTTACAATTATGAAGACTTAAAATCTCCACCGTTACCCGATGAATTGGAAGAAATAATTCGGAATCAATGTAATAGGACAAGGCAGATGTTAATCAACAGGTAAATAATGACAATTTTAAAAAATTATGTATGCTGCCATTATTGATTAATGAAATGCTATGTTATTAATATCTGTATAGTCTAATTTAAAAACTAATTTTTATTTACCTTTAGGTGGGTTCCAGAATGTGCTAAGCAATTCTTAACTAACAAACAATTATGGACGTATTTGATTCCCGCAAGCGAAGTAGAATCAACCGAATTAGTCCAACATTTGTATTCTTGCGTTGCAACATTAATGTCACGCCAACTTCGAAATTTAGTGATGGATTCCTTGCGGGATTTACTTGAATATTTTAAATTGTACAAGGTATATATATATATATATATATATATACATATACCGTAGTAGGCATAAGATTTAAATTTTTTATCGTAAATAATTACTACTTTTTATTACCTTAATATATAATTTAAGCAATTAGTACTAGACTGATTGACTAATCTTACTCTGCAGAATGGCAATGACTTTGAAAAATTTTATAAGGAATTAAACTTTCCTCAACGCCAGGTATACCTAGAAAAGGAATATTTTTTCGCATCATTTTGTTAATCTGGCTGTATTCGATTTAAGTTGACTTTATTTATCTTTAAAATTTAGATGATAACAGTTAGGGCCCTGACTAAAGCTCCTTCCATTATCATCAGTCCTACATTTTCTGATATTGGAGAGGTCATTGTTAGGATTTTTAAAGAGATAATCAGGAGTGCTGAAGATATACCCAGGGTATGCGAAAACCTTATTTGCTTGCTGCGATTAATAGATATTAGCCTGCATAAAGCATAATATACTAACTTTCAGCTTGTAGTTAAAAGTGATCCTTTTTGATCCCTCACCAAGATTTTTATGCGTTATGGCTTAAATTTACAGATCGAACACGAAGTATTTCCGAACATGAAGGAACATCAACTGGTTTTAAGCTCCGTAAAGGTTTCGGAGACAACGGTTGTCGATATTATTGAAGACGCGCTTAAGACCTATAAAAATAATACCAATGGCCCAAAACGGTAAAAGTCTGAAATTATTACTATTATGTGTTTAAATTTATCCTCCTGATTAACTCTAAAATAATTAATTTACGAAAACGCTATTCAAACCATTCCAGGTACCTCGATATCTATAAACAATACTTGCATTTATTAAGTGGTAAAGCGGAATCAGAGACGATCACGTTTCTTAAGGAAGATCATGAATTATATGACTTCTCTGAGGTATCGAATTGATTCCATCATTGCAATACTGCATTATTACGATCTACCTATGAAATTTCATATAATTGGATTGAAAATATTTTAATTTATTTCGTAGAAAATAGGCCAATTAAAAGCAACCAGAAACGAAATTGGCTCACTGTTAACCGTTGTATCGCTGAATATGTTGAGACTTGACTGTAGTGAATTGAAAAGAGATCTTATGGATCGTTGCAATTTCCTGATTAGAAAATTGGTGACTCATGTAGTAGAAAATCATCGTGAATTAAATAAGGCATTATGTCGTCGCTATGAAGAAATTTCTGAGCGATCTCAAGAGATTCCTCGTAATACCGAAGAGTTAGTTAGTTTGATGGAGTTCATTAAAGAAGCTAGTATGATAAAAGTATACCGATTGCAGGACGATATTGCTAAGGCTTCAAATCGATTAGACTTCCTCCTTGATTACGCAACATTGTCAACGGATGATATGAAATTAAATAATACAGTTTTTAATTGGCCTCATCAAATCGCTCGCACTTTTGATATAATGGGTGCTAGAATGCAAAATCGCAGGGATCTTGCGGAAGAAGAGGTATGGCATAGAAAGATTCTTAAGACAAATGAAAAAAAATATATAATTAAGATAATAAAAATCGCTATTCTACCGATGGAAACGTAATCGTGACCTTACAGTTTGATTTATGTTGTTGTAAGGCCTATGAAAATCCAATATTGACTAACATATTCTATTATTATTAAAGCTAAGAAAAAGAGTAAAACTACTGGAAGGAAAAATCATAACGTATAGCTCTGATATAGAAATATTTAGACGAAAAGAGATAATGGCAATGGAAGAAATGAAGAAAAATGTCGATACGTTGCAAGATCTTCATGAGAAATTGTTGGCTGCATCCGAAGATTTGGAAGCTATTAACAGTGAAGAAAAACTATTAGATTGGCCACCATCCGCTTTCCCCCAACTAAGTGTTATGTTCGCAACTAAAGACCCTTATGATAAATTGTGGAAAACTGCATTGGAATTTTATACTAAACATGAAATTTGGATGAACGGTAAGTAATTACTTTCAGATTGATTGCTGCTATCTGCCATCAGCTTCATCATGATAAAATAAGTCTTGCTCTGTCGATTAAATAGGCATTAAAATTTTTTCACGATATATAGGATCATTTCTTGAATTGGATGCTGATAAAATTACTGAAGATTTTGAAACCATGTGGCATACCATTCACCGATTATCAAGAACATTTTCGGATGTGACTTCGCCACGACGCGTTGTCGAAACCGTTAAATCGAAATTGGAGAAATTTAAAATAAATTTACCCATCTTACAAATATTACGAAATCCAGGTTTGAAAGATCGTCATTGGGAATCGGTATGTAATTTATTGTACCTATAGGAACCTCACCTTCATTTATTTCCAAATACACCAAAAAATCTACATGGAGTATAGAAGTATTTTATAACATAGACAATGAATCCATGGTCTGTATTTAGGAAAAATTGTAAATTTCTTTCTTTTGTCTTTGGTTAGATGAGCGAAATCGTCGAATATGATATTAAACCTGACGAAGATACCGCCTTTAGCCACCTGTTGGATTATGATTTAAATAAATTTATGGAGAGGTAATCACATTTAATGATATTAGTTATATAAATTTATATAGTAAAGTGAATGATCATTTGTTGTTTTAATTGGCGATCTATAAGATATTTGAACCAGTTATGATTTATAATTAATAACTTTACAGGCTGGAAGAAGTTAGCGGTTTAGCAACAAAAGAGTATGCATTGGAAACTTCTATTAAGAAAATGAAGAGTGAATGGGAAGAAATAGCTTTTGAATTCGTTGAATATCGTGAAAAAGGAATATCTATCTTGTCATCCATCGACGACATACAAGTTCTACTAGATGATCACCTTATCAAAACGCAAACTATACGTGGATCTCCTTATATTAAGCCATATGAAGAAGAGATTAAGATATGGGAAGAACAACTAACAAGTGTACAAGATATCTTAGATGCATGGCTTAAATGCCAAGCTACTTGGCTATATCTGGAGCCAATATTCGGTTCTGAAGATATTATGGCTCAAATGCCGGATGAGAGTCGTAAATTTGGCATCGTTGACAGCTACTGGCGCGATATCATGACGGAATCGGTGAAAGAGCCACTAGTACTCATGTGTACATCGCAAATGAATATGCTGCAACGTTTAGAAGATTCCAATATATTGCTTGAAGAAATCCAGAAGGGCTTAAATAGTTATCTTGAAAAGAAACGACTTTACTTTCCTCGTTTTTTCTTTTTATCTAATGACGAACTATTAGAAATTTTATCGGAAACCAAAGATCCGTTGCGTGTACAGCCTCATTTAAAGAAATGCTTCGAGGGTATTAATCGATTAGAATTTAATGATGACTTGGAGATTACTGGAATGATCAGCGCTGAAAATGAAATTGTCACTTTAACCAATAAAGTTTATCCTGTTAGAGCTCGTGGAATGGTCGAGAAATGGTTGTTGCAAGTGGAACAAGCTATGACGGGAAGTTTACAAAAGATAATTGAACAAGCCATGGATTCTTATCCTCAAGACCCACGACCAAAATGGGTCTTAGACTGGCCAGGCCAAGTAGTTATTTGTGCTAGTTCAGTTTATTGGACACTAGAAGTCATGGCCGCTTTATCTCAACAGCATGGATTGGAGAATTATTTACAAAAGTGTAATAAACAGATTGATGATATTGTTCAACTAGTCCGAGGAAAATTAGATCCTGGATCACGGGTTACATTAGGAGCGCTGATTGTTATTGATGTTCACGCCCGAGATGTTGTTCATCAATTAGTCGAACATCAAGTGAATAACACCGATGATTTTCAATGGATAAGTCAATTAAGATACTACTGGGAAGAATCACAAGTATTAGTTCGCATGATTACCACTAATATATGCTATGGTTATGAATATCTTGGCAATAGTTCACGTCTCGTAATTACACCGTTAACAGATCGTTGTTATCGAACTTTAATGGGTGCGATTAAATTAAATCTTGGTGGAGCACCTGAGGGCCCAGCCGGTACAGGTAAAACTGAAACATGCAAAGATTTAGCAAAAGCAGTAGCAAAACAGTGTGTTGTATTCAATTGCTCGGATGGGCTTGATTATAAAGCAATGGGGAAATTTTTTAAAGGTTTAGCACAGGCAGGTGCTTGGGCATGTTTCGATGAATTTAATCGTATTGAATTAGAGGTATTATCGGTAGTAGCACAGCAAATCTTAAGTATACAACAAGGTATTGCAAGTGGTGTCGAGAAGTTTATATTTGAAGGAACAGAAATCTCATTAGATCCTACTTGTACAATCTTCATCACTATGAATCCTGGTTATGCTGGTCGGCAAGAATTGCCTGACAATCTTAAAGTACTCTTTCGTACTGTAGCCATGATGGTACCTGATTATGCTATGATTGGTGAAATAGTATTATATTCGTTAGGTTTTGTCGATGCACGCAATTTATCGGCTAAAATTGTTGCTACCTATCGGTTATGTTCCGAGCAATTATCTTCACAACATCATTACGATTACGGTATGCGAGCTGTTAAATCAGTCTTAACAGCCGCAGGTAATCTTAAGTTGCAATATCCCGACGAAAATGAGAGTCATATTTTACTTCGAGCATTGAAAGATGTCAATTTGCCTAAATTTTTAGCCCAAGACATACCGCTGTTTAATGGCATTATCTCAGATCTGTTCCCTAACATACAATTAAGTCATAATGATTATGGACCATTAAAAGAAGCCATTCTGCGAGATCTAAGATTGAAAAATTTACAATCAATCGACTGGTTTGTCGAAAAAATTATCCAAATTTATGAGATGATGTTAGTACGCCATGGTTTTATGATTGTTGGCGAACCATTAAGCGGTAAAACAACCGCATATAAGGTATTAGCGAATGCTTTACTTGATCTAGACCAACAAGGTCAATTATTAGGAGAACATCGTGTACTCTATCGTATCATTAATCCTAAAGCAGTAACCATGGGGCAATTATATGGAGCATTTGATCCTGTTTCACACGAATGGTCTGATGGTATATTAGCAAATGCTTTCCGTGAGCAAGCTAGCTCGACAAGCAATGAACGCAAGTGGATCATATTTGACGGCCCTGTTGATGCAGTATGGATTGAAAATATGAATACTGTTCTTGACGACAATAAAAAATTATGCCTTATGAGCGGTGAAATTATTCAAATGAACGCAAAGCAAAATTTAATTTTTGAACCAAAAGATCTTGAGCAAGCATCGCCTGCAACTGTTAGCCGTTGCGGTATGATTTATATGGAATCCAAACAATTAGGCTGGCAATCTTTGATTAAATCTTATTTAGTCACCTTACCACAAACTATTACTTTATTGAAGCAAGAAAATATCGATATGATTGAGCAGTTAATGTGTTGGCTATTACCACCGACATTGAATTTCATCCAACAAGAATGCAAATCCTTCGTGGATACATCAGATATGCACTTAGTAGCCTCATTTTTGAATTTACTTACTTGCTTGTTGAAAGATATTCAGTCTATATATCAGGACTATCGCCATCATGAAAACGAAGAAGAGATTGCCATACTAGAATCCAAAACCAATACTTGGTTGCAATGTACTTATTTGTTCGCATTAACGTGGTCGATTGGTAGCGCAATCAATAACGACAGTAGGGTTAAATTGAATTTATTCTTTCGCACTTTAGTTAGTGGAACAGATAAAGAAAATCCTAAGCCCAAAGATATTAAAATACCTAAAAGTCATGTATTTCCAGAGCGTGGAACAATTTATGATTTCTACTACGATTATAAAGGATTACATAGCACCTGGACTCATTGGCGTGATAGCATACAACAAAATGAATTAAATACGCCATTGAGTTCTAAAATTAATGATATGATCATACCAACACTGGATACTACAAGACAGGTTTATTTCTTAAAACTCTATTTATCGCGTTCTATACCATTACTCATTTTAGGACCAACAGGCACTGGTAAATCAGCATTAACGATTGATTATTTAATTAATTTACCAAAAGAAGAATATGTACCCAATTTTATCAACTTCTCTGCACGTACAACGGCTCAGCAAACACAAGATGTTATTATGTCTAAACTCGATCGACGTCGTAAAGGAATTTATGGTCCACCTATGGGTAGGAGAGCGATCTTATTTGTGGATGATTTAAATATGCCAGCTAAAGAGAAATATGGAGCCCAACCACCAATTGAATTATTGCGCCAATGGATTGATCATGGCCATTGGTATGATAAAAAAGATACCACTCGATTAGAATTAACGGACACTTGCATCATTAGTGCTATGGGACCTCCTGGTGGCGGCCGCCATCCAATTAGCCAACGACTATTGCGCCATTTTAATATATTTACAATCGATTCATTCGATAATTCGACATTACTGCAAATTTTTGGTACTATGCTAGATTGGCATTTTCAACGCAATGATTTTGATTCATCCTTTATACACTTAGGAAAGATGATGGTCCAGGCAACATTAAATATCTATAATCTTGCTATTAGGAATTTCTTGCCAACACCATCGAAATCGCATTATATCTTCAATCTGCGCGATTTTGCTCGTGTTATTCGCGGTGTTATGCTACTACCGCCGGATCAAATACATGATCATGATGATAAAATGCTACGCTTATGGGTTCATGAAGTCTATCGTGTATTTTATGATCGCTTAATTGACGATCAAGATCGACAAAATTTCTTCAATATGATCAAAGATTGTACTCAGCAACAATTCAAGATTAGTATTAATAAACTATTTAAACATCTTATTTCCGATGTTCAAAATCCAATCCTTACCGACGATGATTTAAGAAGTTTATTTTTCGGTGATTATATGTCAACTGGCAATGAAGTTAAAGCTTACAATGAAATTACCAATTTTTCACAGTTAACATCAATCATGGAGCAATATGTAAGCGATTACAATCAAATTAGCAAAACGCCGATGTCATTAGTAATGTTCCGTTTTGCTATTGAACACGTATCTCGTTTAAGCCGTATCTTAAAACAACCCAATGGCCATGCACTCCTCATCGGGATTGGTGGTAGCGGTCGCCAGAGTGCAACTAAGTTGGCTACGTTTATGGCTAATTATGAAATCTATCTCATTGAAATAACACGCCATTACGGCCAGGTTGAATGGCGTGAAGATTTGAAGAAAATATTTCTTAAAGCCGGTCTCGATGGCAAACCTATCGTTTTCATGTTGAATGATAATCAAATTAAAGATGATTTGTTCTTAGAAGACATTAACACCATTTTAAATACTGGTGATGTACCTAATTTATATCAACAAGATGAAAAAATGGATATCCTTGATAAGATCCAGTTGATTGCTAAGCATGAGGGCAAACGATTAGAAGTTAATCCGTTAATCATGTACAACTACTTTATTGAAAGGGTTAAGGCTAACTTGCATATTGTACTGTGTATGAGCCCAATTGGTGATGCATTCCGCAATCATTTAAGAATGTTTCCCTCGTTAATTAATTGCTGTACTATCGATTGGTATCAAGCATGGCCAAAGGATGCACTAGAAAGGGTAGCTATGAAATTTTTGGAAGAAATTGATTTAGAAGAAAATATCAAGAAAGCTAGTGTGGAAATGTGCCAATATTTTCATAGCAGCGTACGCCAATTATCGACTGATTACTACTCTACATTACGTCGTTATAATTATGTTACACCGACATCCTATCTTGAATTAATATTGGTGTTTAAATCGTTATTGAATTCAAAACGGCGTGAAATTATGATTTCGAAGCATCGTTACACAGCTGGCTTACATAAATTAGATTTTGCTGCTGAACAAGTAACAGTAATGCAAACTGAATTAACTGACTTACAGCCTGAATTGATGAAAACATCAGAAGAAACTGAAGTGTTGTTAGCTAAAATTGAGCAAGATACCGTTGAAGTTCAAGCTAAGAAACAGCTAGTTGAAGCAGATGAAAGGTCTGCTGATGAAGCCGCAGCTATCGCAAAAGCGATTCGTGATGAATGTGAAAGTGAATTAGCCCAAGCTATACCTGCATTAGAAAGTGCAATTGCTGCTTTAAATACCCTTAAACCGCAGGATATTAGCTTTGTCAAAACAATGAAAAATCCAGCGGCTGGTGTTAAATTGGTCATGGAAGCCATTTGTGTTATGAAAGGTATTCGACCCGAACGTAGACCAGATCCAGCTGGCACAGGCAAAATGGTTGAAGATTATTGGGGTCCATCTACTCGTTTATTAGCGGATGTTAAATTCCTAGAATCATTAAAAAAATATGATAAGGATAATATTTCACCGGTTATTATTAAAAAAATACGCGAAAAATATGTCAATAATCCAGAATTTGAACCTACCGCTATACGGAATATATCAGCGGCATGTGAAGGCTTATGCCGTTGGGTACGCGCTATGGAAGCCTATGATAGTGTAGCAAAGTTAGTTGCTCCCAAAAAAGTTAAATTAACCGAAGCTGAACTAGTCTTGGCTAAACAGCAAGAAAAATTAAATGCAAAACGTGAGCAATTAAAAGAAGTAACCGATAAATTACAAGAATTATACAACCAGTTGGATGCTATGCAACAAAAGAAAGCCGATTTAGAAGCTAACATTGAATTATGTTCATTAAAATTGATTCGTGCTGAAAAATTAATCGGTGGTTTAGGGGGTGAAAAGGATCGTTGGAATGAAGCCGCCGATGCTTTAACTCAACGTTATAATAATATTACTGGTGATGTCTTATTATCAGCCGGTATTATTGCCTATTTAGGCGCATTTACCATTGATTTTCGTTCAAGTTGTGTTGACAAGTGGAAAGAATTATGCCAGCTCAAGGCCATACCCTGTTCCGATAATTACAGTATTACCGATACTATGGGCGATCCAGTTAAGTTACGATCATGGCAAATGGATGGCTTACCTATTGATACATTTTCAAATGAGAATGCAATCATTGTTACACATGGGCGCCGTTGGCCATTAATGATTGATCCACAAAATCAAGCTAATAAATGGATCAAGAACATGGAGAAGCCCAATCAGTTAGCAGTCATAAGATTAACCGATCAAAATTATTTGCGTCACTTAGAAAATCATATACAGCTTGGTTTGCCTATTTTATTGGAAGATGTTGGTGAAGAACTGGATCCAATATTAGAGACTGTCTTATTAAAACAAACTTTTCGACAAGGTGGTGTGGATTATATTAAACTTGGTGAAACTATTATTGAATATTCCAAAGATTTCCGTCTGTATATTACAACTCGATTAAGAAATCCTCATTATTTACCGGAAGTCACAGTAAAGGTAACGCTGCTAAATTTTATGATTACCCCTACCGGCTTGGAAGATCAACTCTTAGGCATTCTTGTAGCAAAAGAGAAGCCAAATCTAGAAGCAAGACGTAATCAATTAGTAGTTGAGAGTGCTGACAATAACTGGCAATTAAAATTAATTGAAGGTAAAATTTTAGAGATTTTATCCACAACGCAAGGTGACATCTTGGAAAATGAAGAAGCGATTAAAATTTTATCTTCATCCAAAAATTTATCTGCAGAAATCTTTGCTAAACAGCAAGTTGCATTGGCAACAGAGGAAAAAATTAACGAAGCACGTAATAAATATAAACCAGTAGCTACTCACTCATCGATCTTATTCTTTTGCATCTCTGATATCGCCAGTATTGATCCTATGTATCAATATTCACTGACATGGTTTATTAATTTATACTTGCAATCGATTGAACAAAGCAAAATGACATCAACATCGCCATCCATAGCAACGATAGCTTCAACACCATCTTCAAGAAAGCCATCCCTTGCCAACAAAGACAAAATGAGTACAGTTAAAAATGATGATGGCAATGATGATGATGATGATGATGACGATAGTGATATTGAAGAGCGAATTTTTCATCTAAATGAGCACTTTACCTATAGTATCTATAAAAATGTATGCCGATCATTATTTGAAAAAGATAAATTGTTGTTCTCATTCCTCTTATGTGTTGGTATCATGAAAAGTCAAGATCAAATCGATGATGAAGCTTGGCGTTTTCTCTTAACCGGAGGTGTAGCATTAAATAATCCTTATCCAAATCCTGCTAAAGATTGGCTAACCGATAAGGCTTGGGCTGAAATTGTGCGTGCATCTGCATTGCCACATTTTAAAGATTGGCTACAAGATTTTATCGATCGATCCCATGAATGGAAAGCTGTCTATGATGCAATCCAACCTCATCTAACTCCATTACCCTCACCTTGGAATCAGAATCTAAACGATATTGATAAATTAATTGTAATACGTTGCCTGAGGCCAGATAAAGTCATACCAGCCGTTCAAGATTTTATTGCGCATCATTTAAGTAAACAGTATATAGAGCCTCCACCTTTCGATCTGGAAAGTAGTTACATGGATTCACATTGTTGTGCCCCACTGATATTTATCTTATCCCCTGGCGCTGATCCAATGGTAACGCTATTAAAATTTGCTGAAGATAAAGGCATTAAAGGCCATCAATGTCGTGCAATTTCATTAGGACAAGGGCAAGGTCCAATTGCAGCTCAAATGATTGAGCACGCTATCCAACATGGTACATGGGTAGTGTTACAAAACTGTCATCTAGCAACAAGTTGGATGCCAGTATTAGAAAAAATATGTAAAAGAAGTTATCACACCGGATAAAACTCATCCCAATTTTCGTTTATGGTTGACCAGTTATCCATCGAAGCATTTTCCCGTCACATTATTACAAGATGGAGTCAAAATGACAAATGAACCACCGAAAGGATTACGTGCTAATCTATTAAGATCTTATTTGACAGATCCAATTAGCGATCACGAATTTTATAATGACTGTAATAAACCTGTAGCGTGGCGTAAATTGGTGTTTGGTTTATGTTTCTTTCATGCTCTTGTCCAGGAAAGGCGTCAGTTTGGCCCATTAGGTTGGAATATTGCATACGAATTTAACGACTCAGATCTACGTATCAGTTTAAGACAATTACGGTAAATAAAATAAGATATAATTGTCAGCCATTAACATATTTTAAAGCTTAAAGGTTTGATGATTGCATTTTAAATCACGGAAATACAATTATCATTGAATAGGTTCTTCATTGTGGGCTAGTCACCGCTAATATAAAATATAAATATTTATTTCATATACTGATGTGGATGATTTTATAACTGAATAATAACTATTCATTATATTTTACACATGACATTAAAACTGAAATTAATAGTAGCACAGATGGAGTTATTTATGTTGGTTTTATCTAATTACTACAACTAGATGTTTCTTAACGAATATGAAGAAATACCCTTGGATGCTTTAATTTACTTGACAGGGCAATGCAATCATGGTGGAAGAGTAACTGATGATAAAGATCGTCGACTACTTTTAAGTACATTGTCCATATTTTATTGCAATGAAATAGTTACAGACGATAATTATAGGTAACTAACATTGATTTTTATCTTATTAATATAATTCTATAATCAAGATAAACATTACAGATAACATAAGCAAACTGATGATATTTATAATACACGTAGATTATCCCCTAGCGGTTTATATTTTGCTCCATCTGATGGTTCTTATGATAATTGCATTGAGTACATACGAAGTTTACCATTAACGCCATATCCGGAAGTGTTCGGTCTTCATGAAAATGCTGATATTACTAAAGATCAACAAGCAACTTTACAGGTATTTGAGTTTACTTTAAATGATAACCTGCAATTTTCGTCATATCAACTTAATAATTTCCGTTGTACTTGACAATGCAGCTTTTCAATGATATCCTCACTACATTACCGAGACAAGCCACTGGCAGTAATAAATCTTCCCAAGAATTAATAGAAGAATTAGCTTTGGACATCTTACAAAAGATACCAAAAGATTTTGATATGAATTATGTACGTTAGTTAAATAATATTTTTTACCCAATTATGCATCGCTTATATCGGTAAATTGATTGTTGTAATATGTAATTAATTTATTCTTTTATACTTCTATAGGTAATGAAAAAATATCCTGTTAGCTACGAGGAGTCAATGAATACAGTTCTCAGACAGGAATTGATTCGATTTAACCGGTTAATTGTTGTAATTCGAGAGAGCTTGAAGGACATTTTGAAAGCAATTAAAGTAATTACACGGAATTATTTATCTTACTAGTTATAAATGCTATAATATACGAGGTAGATTAGATATACCGTACTGTATGCATCTATAATATCTGGTTTGGAATTATAATTTTCATGCTCTTATTATGATAATAATTATTTGTAAGCTAAATCATGTATATAATTAAGGCTATTTGCATTAACCTCGTTTAGGGTTTGATGGTAATGTCTGAAGTTCTGGAAGATATGTTTGATAGCATGCTTGTTGGCAAAGTACCAACATTATGGGCACAGAAATCATATCCGTCTTTAAAGCCTCTCGGAAGCTATATTTCTGACTTATTAGCGAGATTGAAATTTTTTCAAGCTTGGATAGATAATGGCATACCAAATGTCTTTTGGCTCTCTGGGTTCTTTTTCACACAATCTTTCTTAACGGGTGAGTATAGAAAAAGTAGCGCAGATTATTGGACTTTATTATAGTGAATAATTCCTAATAATAATTGAAACTTTTCAATAGGTACATCGCAAAATTTTGCCAGAAAATATACTATTCCAATTGATCATTTAGGATTTGACTTTGAGGTATTACGAGACGATGGGTCTACAAATGGAAAGCCTGAAGATGGAGTGTATTGTACTGTAAGTATAATAATATTGCCCTAAATATTCATTAACCAACAGTTCCTTTACTATTTCATACTAATATATTATATTATTTGTAGGGATTGTTTTTGGAAGGTGCTCGTTGGGATAGAGAAAAAATGGTTTTAGGAGAATCTTACCCGAAAATATTATATGATGCACTCCCAACAGTATCCTAACATATTTCTAACTACCGCCATTATGATAGCAAATTTATTTTGAAAGTTATTTAAAATTATAGAAAATTTTATAATTAAAACTATTCATTTTTTTCCTTAACTGAAAACCTCTAATCTACAGCTTTACATAAAACCTTCCAAATATGAAGACATTCCAGACAAATCTACTTATTCATGTCCTGTCTACAAAACAAGTGCTAGGCGAGGCACGCTTTCGACGACTGGCCACTCAACTAATTTTGTCGTATTTGTTAATTTATTAACGGATAAAGAAGCAACTCACTGGATTCGACGAGGAGTTGCATTACTCTGTCAGTTAGATGATTGATAGACTATGCTCATATGGGATTTTAATTGGCGTCCGTATATTTCATCGTAATATATTTCTCAGTACTTTCGATGAGTAGATGTAATCGAGAAATCGATATAAAATTTTTCTAGATAACTTTGTAGAATACTAAAATATTAAAAGTGTTACAAGATAAAATTTCAATTCACATTTTGAATAACATTAAAGCTCATATTCAATTCTTATTCGCGAGTAAACTTCAGATATTCTAAAATATTAATGTAACGTTACTACAGTATAACTGTCTCATTGGAATGGATTTGTATCCGTCATTATTTACATTTCAGTTCATGCCTTAATCAAGTATGTTTGTATGAAATTTTACACGATAAGATTGGCGTCAAATGCAAATTGTCTATTGAATATAGTTTGGGTTATAAAATATAATGAATACCGACATACTATTACTTCATTAATTTTATGTATCTGATTCAAGTCAATAAATTTTTTATATTTATTAACATTAAGTACGTATGCAGTCTACATTTAAAGGGGTACTTAAGCTAGCTAGCTAAATAATAGTACATTATCAAATTTTCCCGTTCACTCAGCAATAATATTTCCTGTGATGCGCTTTTTTACCTGATGTACCACCGTTTATCAATATATAGTAGAAGTGATAATTAGGATTCAGTTGTATAGCCTACAATCTCTATTTAAATTAATTTTAGTTATGCATCTTTATCAGGAAGTAAAACTTGATGATTGATTTTACTATTTGTGATCTGATTCAGACCTTGATTTGCAGTACATTAAAATTATGCTATTTATACTTTTCACATAGTGTGCCATAGATCTTAGAGATTCCAAAGTTTTACAAATGTGCTTATAGTCTCACTCTCTTTTTTAGAGTATTTATAGTAATTCATAGTAATTTATATACACGCTGCTATGTAAATATTTGACTATATCACACATGGTATTTTCGCTTACGAGCCAGAAATTTATTTCAAAAAGTAACCAAATATGATCTGTACGCGTATAATCGTATGTGTATTGATGTTATATAAGTAGCTGTCATAACAATTTGTTAGAAACTACAGTGAGATTAACGAGTTTTAGAAAAATAACATCTTAACTTGAGTAATACTGTGGTAGTCTGAGTACCAAAAGCCTTGTGGCAAAAATTTGTAAAGAACTCTGGTTCAGGTACCATAACTCAGGCTATTTCCTCCATTATTTTCAGTCTCTATGCAAGTGATAAATCAGCACTCAATTTCTTGGCTGAACTCTACAGGCTATTGATTAATTGCTATATTTTCTTCACGTTACGACTTCCGAACACTTTTTAAGCAATTGCTACTTTTATTTTACGACTAAATGCACTTAAATAGATTTCTACAGTGAGTTTTCGTATTAATTGACGTAAATTAGTATAGATATAATTACTAAATAGATACATAGATATGCTGAATCTAGGTCGCTGTGAACTATCAGGTGTTGAAATGCTTATCATCCGACAAAATACAGCTCAATTATTAGAGCTTAGCACACCTTTTAATGTCAGTAAATTAACTCGCAGTAGTCTATTTTTATATCACAATTCTACCACCGCTCTATTAACTACAAGCCCAGCAAAATTCAATAAATCCATTTAAAAATATTCAGTATTCAGTAGTCAATAAATACTTAGTTGAAAAAACGGTATCGTGATATTGAGATATTTCCACCTTGATGAGAAAATGGATAAAAAATTCGGTTATGTAACCATGTCAAATTTCACTAGCAATCTGTGTAATGATACTTACTGTTGCAACTGTCACGTTCAGCTAATAAAGCGACAATGCAAACAATGTTATCGATTTAAAATTTCAACTTTAAATTAAAAGATGATCTACTGCATCAGTTTGTTCAATTGAAACTGTCACGATTTCATGAATAAATGCAAGCTTAACTCTATTAATGGGATTAACCTGTTTTAAGTTATTTAGTCAACAAATCGAAAATTTATTGATAAGAATAGTAGTAATAGAATAGAAATGATCAAACTCATATGACATCGCTTTATGCTATGTCTAAGAGTATTTTAGAGTAGGTGCAGTAGCTTCAATGAATGCTAAATAATCATTGCTATTATCTCTGATTTATATTCTTCTGAAAGCTATTATTACATGGAGATAAAGTTTTAGAAAATTATGTAAGCGTACTTATAATGTTGGATAGACCAATACAGTATTTGGCGTTCTTAAGTTCTGTTTAAAATCGCACTTCAATATAGCCGATTAAATAATGGGTGAAATAATGGAAATAACACGAATTCTTTAGTATTGCAAATATTATAAAATGTATACATGCAAATACATAATGTCCTTACTAAATAAATAGAGTACTAGCTCTTGTGTGCTGCAGCAGTACGATACACTGTAATCTTAAGTCGCACATACTGTATTTTAACGATCAATAGCAAGCAAAACCATGATCTATAATCTTGTATTTTATTATTTAGGCAAAGAACCAAACATGGTAAATAAAAAAGTTTTGCATGAAATATTAAACATTTTACGCCTAAATGAAACGGGACGAATAAATGTCTAAAATAAAAAAAACGTTATCCTGAAGATTTCAATTTATGAAGTGTAATCATATAAAACACAACAATTCTATAGTACAATGCATGGACACGCACAATGAAGAAATATGCAATCACATGTCATTTATCAACTAAGTAAAATTATAGCTACAATCAATAAATCACGGTATAGTTACGGTAACATACACCAGTCATACAGCAATAATAGATCAAGAAACTTGTCAGTAACGATCTATGATTATTTTGAAAACTTGGGATACAATATCTGGTAAATGTTGAGATTAGAGAATATGAGTTGAAGTTAAGGGTAAGTACAGATCCATAATTTGCTTAAGATTTGAAATAGGTAACGGCCATTCAAGGTTAACAAAGCCTAATCTAAATTTGGTTATGATGAACAAATACAAGCTACAGTGGAAAAAAATATTTTAGGAAGAGGACTAACCTGTACGGAAGAAGCAAAACAGTGTATTATAATCAATTGGACGGTAATTGTTCAATAAAATACTATCACACAATAAGGTTAAGATGTGAACACAGGACATTTTCTATAACGCCTTTTATAGCAAACCCGATTATTGATAACCAATAAGGAAGTCATCTACACAATAAAATGTAGTTGTAATATTACGGTTATATAGCAAAGGATAAACATCCATATAATCGAGTTAGCATAATATTGACTAATGCGGACAGTAACACTTTCAAGGCCACTAAGCGAACCAAGATTATATACGTATACTCCTAGAATGGTAATACAAATATTAAGGAAGTTATCACTTCTACATCATATCTCCATACAATTTTACATTACTAATAATTAGATGGATCGATGTATAGAAGCGTAGGGTTATTGTTTGTGAAAATTTTTGTTTTGTCACTCGCTATGGACGACCAATCCATTCTACGGTTACGACCATCGTTCATGAGAAAGTTCATCGGCATCAACGATAGTGACATCAACAGCTTGCAGCTTATCACATTTTGGTGGTAAAGGACAAGTTTTAAATTTGACCGCATCACCCGCTTTTAATACGTATTCTCCATTAATACTATATTCGAAAATAGAAATTAATTTAGAAAAGCTCCTAATATTCTTAGTATTATCCGTCATAATTTACAAATAACAGTGACAACAATCGTCGAGTTGACATCATAACTATAGTTCCAAAGCCTATGCCTATAATAACATGGTGGCAGTGTATAGTCTATACCGAACAATTTTAATTTTATCTAGAAATCATCAACTCATTAATATTAGAACAATAACATTTTTTGAACGACTTTTTAACATAACACGGTTGATCACCATTAAAAGGCAACATCTACTATGGTCAATGAATTATCTCAACCAGTGATGATAAAAGAGTATTAACGATTTCGCGTTCCGTATCACAGTATACAGTACACTATATCGATAATAGAGTTCATTGATCGACTGTTCACCGGTCAACAACTGTACTGTATATATTGATATGCTATCTACAGTAATATGAATATAGAAGCGGCTCCAAATTGAATTCTGGTTCTTCAATACAACTGCAAAGATAACGATGCTACTGACAATATTTCAAGGTGTAATGTATGTTGACCGTGAACTGAAAAAGAACAAGATAATGCAGTCTTTGGCAGCACTTACTCGGATATATGAACAAATATCAAGTCATTACTATCCTCAGGCTTGATAAATCCATGGCCCTTGTCCCGATGAAAATCATGGCAGACTCCAATCCTACATTCACCGGCAACAGCTCTCTCATGCCTACAAGAAAATATTGAAATGCATGCGTTTACATTGTAAGCAAATCCTTCAGCCATTTTCGATATCCTTATAATGCAGCACAATCCATTGTCGCATTACAATCGATTGACATAACGATACTTTCCGTCTTGTTTGGCTAGTGTATAATTAATATATAATATCTTGCTGAAAAGAACTCGTTCCACGAGTCTGCACGTACACGCGTATACTAATATAGTCCATAGCGCACATTCAGTGCGCTAATAGACATTCATTTTAGGCACATGGAATTGAACTCCTTTCGATCAACACATTAATACGTTGTTGGTATGTGCATTGATCTAGATTTATCTTTGTCCATATTTTTGTGGATACTATTGGTCATACAGTGCAATGAACGTCTATCAACGATGATTGATGCTAGAGACATCTCTATTCTAGTCGACTGCGTGATGTAGAGAACATGTCAATGAGAAGTTATTTTTCACTGATGTACACTTGTACACTTGTACAGTGAGGAACTTTATTGGCTGTAATCTTCAGCTTGTCTCGGATTCATTCTGTTCAACTATGACGAGTATAGAATAAATAGCTTACGTGGATTCAGATCTTAGTCGGCGAGTTGGTACTGGGCTTGGTACGATAAAGTGAAAGTCTTGCTGGCTATTTTCTTGGGCGGCCATGTTCCTTGTGTTGCCTGGAGAGGAGGTTTAAAAGTAAAATCCAACATCCAGTTGGCGTCAGGTCTGTAGTCGAGCTTATGCAAGTGGAGTATTTCACCTTGACGTCGATACAGACGTCAGGTCTAGATACAGTACAGTAAGCGTTTGATAAAGTGAGATGTTCATACACTCATACAGTAAGCCGCGTACAGTGTACAGTCTACAACCTACAGTATAGCACGCTGCGGAATGTACTGTACACTGTAGGGTCGTGTGTTCAACTTTTGAATACTGTACTGTACAAATTGGAAGAGAACTGTGGAAACGCTTTGTACTGTACTGTACAGTACTGTATACTGTAGTATAGTCATGTGTCCATCATTAGGGACTGTCACTCTGTTTGCATTCCTCCTCATACAGTACACTGTACTGTACACTGTACTGCACAGTGTACAGTACAGTACAGCAAAGGTAGGGTGGATCGAGAGGCCGGACAATCAAGGGTGTCTTCGCTTTGGGGCTGCCATGCCAGGCCAGGACGAAATAGAGTAGTACAGTACAATATACTGTACAGTACTGTAATGTAAGCGCTATTTTAAAAAATTAATTTCTCAAATTTGATTTATTTAAAATTTTTTTTTTTTATTATTATCCTGTAGAGTAAATAATCTGTACAGTACAGTATAATAGTGTAAATAAACATACAGTACAGTATCGTACAGTGTACAGTACTCTAGTACTGTATCTACAGTACATTGTACAGTGTATACGAATACTGTAGTGTACACTGTACAGTACAGTACAGTACTGTACTGTACAAATTGGAAGAGAACTGTGGAAACGCTTTGTACTGTACTGTACAGTACTTTATACTGTAGTATAGTCATGTGTCCATCATTAGGGACTGTCACTCTGTTTGCATTCCTCCTCATACACTGTACACTGTACCGCACAGTGTACTGTACAGTACAGCGAAGGTAGGGTGGATCGAGAGGCCGGACAATCAAGGGTGTCTTCGCTTTGGGGCTGCCATGCCAGGCCAGGACGAAATAGAGTAGTACAGTACAATATACTGTACAGTGTACAGTACTCTAGTACTGTATCTACAGTACATTGTACAGTGTATAATGCACAGCGTACAATGCACAGTGTACAGTGCATAGTGTACAGTGCACAGTGTACAATACTCGCTATCGCCATCACTTCATGAACTGGCAATTTCTCCAGCTCAGTTGCCTCGATTATAAACAAACTACTGGCGTAGAACAAGGATAAATCAATTCCTATATCAGACCGTATAGGAAGAGAGTCGGGGTCGCCATGGAGAATCTGTCCAATCTTAAAATCGCTGGAAACACCGTTGAATATCGTATTTATAGTGCAGACCTACTGACCTCACAAGATGTGCCCAAATGCAATGAACAACTACAGGATCGGCGTAGTCAATATATTACTTATCTTAGGTCGTATCTAGTCGAATACATCTGGCATAACGAATCCTTTAACCTTCGAGTGATTCCACCTACAGGTTAGACCTTACCCTGATGTGCTACAAAAATGAATTCATAAATCGAAAGTCATTTCCAGCTTCATACTCAAAAGTATGACCTGTACAATGCTCATTTCAGTGGTAAAGAATTAAGATTAAAAATGATTATCATTCACTGCAATATAATCTTGGCATAGCTTGTTGTAACGCGATGTCGGTAGTGGATTCATCATACTGTACATGTTGCATGAGTGCATAGTCAATACTGCAGAAGTCAATATTCATACATCTATATTAGGCTATCAAGGTAATTTATTCCAGTCCAACTAATAATTCAAAATAATGTATTATTATACCTCATCATTTCCATGGTTGTTAGCTGCTTGTCCAGCTCACCTTTATGGCTCGACTGAGTTTGCAGACAATATTGATGATGAATGGTTTATCGTCTTCTTATTGTGGAAAATAACTTCGACATGGGATGACGTTATTGTTAGGTATAGGATTACTGACTGTAAAGTAGCTTACAGGTATAGTGATATGCACGCGTATAACGATGACTTTACTATCCAAACAGCATTTGGGACAATGATGAGCAATTTTTACTCATTGAAGCTGCAAATGACCTACCGAGCTGGTTAGAGCCCAATACTAGCGATAATAGGGTCCGTATTTCTACCTTTTAAAGTTAAATCTTTAAAATCAATCGATAGCATTTGTATTTTAACTTTATATAATTCACATATTTTCCACTGCAGTTATTGGTGCAACTGCTGGCTAGTAGTTTCCAGTTTCTACCATATAACTTCCATACGATTCACTAACAACACAATAGATGTGCACGTATTGTAATTTGCAATATGGATGTTAACGCATCCATTATAGTAATTGACTGTATACAGTACCAACAGCCTGTTACGTACACAGCTGTAATCCTGTTCTGCACAAATAAGGCGTCATTATGATGATACTGCTGTACAATAGTACTAAAGTAAAGATAGTTTTGATCCTATTTTGCGTAATTGTTCCTAGGGTGTTATTCTAGTGACTCTGAAAGAAGTACCAATGCAGCAATAAATACAACTCAATAGCAGTTTCGTATGGTTTGCTTTTAGATTATAGATTAGTGTAGGTTGTGATCCACTTCACTAACAAGCTCAAACAGTTTTAATACTATTAAAACTCACAGCAATGCGAAATCGACCACATTCAGTTTTATATTGCCTTTTATTACGTATCATAAATGTACAATATATCCAGAAATTGGATCGGTAGATAATATTATTAAACGATATACCCGTAAATCATCAAAGTGTATATTTGCAAATATTGAGGTAATAAATGTGAGAGGTTGTAGTCTGTTTGGATGTGTCTATTATTTGATAAGTGCAACTTTATCACATGTATATATGAGAACTGATGAACAGCAAACAAGTCAGATTGGCATCAAGAATCAATTTTTATCTATTAGGTCTTTATTTATAACGGTTTATTACAAATCATTCCCCTACCTAACACACCAGCTGAACTCTCGTCTTTACCAGTCGGCCAACTTTCAATAGGCAAAGCTTTGGCAATTGTCACGTCTCAAAAAGTAAATACTGTGGCGTCTTCCCCTATCCAACAGGCAATTCTCAATCGTATCGAAGAGTAAGTTACTTCTAAAACTGGCTACGACAATCAATTGCTTTACAGATGCTATAGGAGTAATTTTGTCTCGTTTTCTCGTCAGGTATCCAGAAAAATTAGTATTAAATAAGCACAGAGCTCACCTTTATGTTCCAGCTAATGTAGCGTATATCCTAAAAACAAGACCTGGACTTCTTTCACCAGCTGTACAAGCATTTTACGAACGCGATCCCTTAGACCTTAAGGTATGTGATCGTGATTATAATATATTCCTAGTCTGTATTGACATCGGAGCTTTACGTGTGTATAAAATTTTGAAGTTTAATTAACTTTAAAAGTATCTAATTACCATTCATTTAAGGTATGCCGCTTGATGAAGCATTTTCCTCCTGATACTTGCATAAAAGCTGAGGTTAACTTTATTTGGGTGCAAAGTAATATAAAATTTTTTGAACTACGGAACTTTTCTCGCTTATATTAGCATAAATCTTTGTATTAGATTACATTCACAAGATGCTTGTATGCTCAGCTGCTGCAACAAAAGTTCAAACCGGATAAGCGCAGCTCTTGGAAACTACCGTCTCAATATCACCCAGAATATAAAGCTTATGAGCTTGGAATGAAACTAGTAGGCTTTAAAATTCGAGCATCCTAGGCAACATTCACTTTTCATTAAACAATTCCTCTAGGTCTTAATGTCTTGTAGCAAACACATACCAGAATAATACTGGAATAATTCAATATCGCTTCTTTTTTATACTGTTCCGAATGAATTAAGGCATGCGGATTTGAGATACTATGTAGCAGACATGAGAGTAAATCAGGCGTAGCCACCCAGGTATGAAGTGATTACAGATAGTTTTCTGGTAAAACGTTATGAGTTCTCTATAGGGCTGGATTGATGTGGTACAATTAGGAAAGATCCATATGAATTATGCCATAATACTTATCTTATTCTTTAATAATTTAACTGAAGCAAACCCCGCATACTACACGTGCATTGGAGAGTTATCTGTCTAATTTGAAAAAGCATGGGTACTTTCAGGTAATAGCGACTGGATATTATTATCTGAATAGTGCTATTCGATGTGTCCAATACTGTACAAACACACACAGTATTCATTGCATTTCTTGATTTTAAGCAAGACTTATTCATTCAATTTTGGATGATACACACGTAAATAGTTATATTTATGAAAAGATTGGGATCATTGTTAAAGATTGTAAAACTATCCATCTCTTTATTGGTCATTAGAATGAGATAGAAGGTTCTCAAAAGTATCAGATGCTACTTGATGCTGCAAAGCAATATTTCATTAATCCATCGCTGGGAGGGTATGATAAATTAAAACTAATTCCATGCAAACTATTGCATTAAAATGATAACATACCCTTCATTCTTGCAGTGATATTGATCATCCTGGTTGTGAAGTTCTTAATATCCTCCGAACCGCAAATTATAAAATCGAAGATTTAAAGAGAGCGTCTGAATCATTGCAGCGGGAAGACGGTACTGCTACTTCATTAGCAATATCTGTTTCTATTTCTATGTAATTATGATTATAGTTGCATCAATTCGTATTGTTACGATTAGATGATAGTTGGTTAGAATTGTCATCTCAAGAAGTTGATAGTATGATTGAAAAGGCGAAAGGAAACCTAGATGAATTAAATACAGAAGATTTAGATTTCGAAGTTGACGATGAGGAGGTGAATTTTTTGGAAATCATTTAAGCGAAGTATCGATGGAAAAGTTTTTAATTATGTAATACTCGTAAAATGTCCTATTCTAAGTCCAAGGAGCTCGGAAACATCGCCAGCGGGATGAAATCCTTCATTAGTAAAATATCAGGTTATGAGGGCGCCGAATTTCCTAGGTGAATGTCTAAAATTGTAAATTTTCTTGTCAAGATTCCGCAGTATGTTTCTATAGTGAATTCAGTGTAGCTTGCCTAATTGGCCATGCATTGCTGCTGTAGTTCGAAAAATGATTGCGACGTCGACTTCGATCCTGATGCATTTCTTCAATCAATTTACAAGTTTACAAAAGGTTATAACCATTATGTGACTATACTTAACGTTATCGATGGTATCAACTGACTTTCGTCATATTTATGTAACATGGCTTATAAATGTTTGTGATTATGATATTGCTACTATTGCATAGTTCATATCAACGACAATGATGACCTGTCAGAGCAAGATAGTGATAATAATGACGATATAGAATTTGATTCATCAGGTAAGATAATATATTCCAATCTTAAATTATACCGGTATTCCTTGAAATGATTCCCCAGCGAAAATTCGAAAATAGTCTGAAGACATTGTTTGTCAATACCATTATTTTTTAAGATATCCATACCAGCATGAGTGAAGTACAGAAGTATATGGATCAAATGGATCAGGAGCTAGCTCCAACAACCATGGGCAAGAGTTTTACTAAAGCTAAAGGTTGGTAGTTAAAGTCAAGAAATTATTTAAAATAATGCTGATTTAATATTCCTTTATGTACTTTTAGTTATTGATAATTATAATTCCTGTTGACTATTTAAAGTGCTTTAGACAATGAAAGAATTATTAGCATAGCTAATAATCTACATATGTTAACTTAATAGATAACATTGACGATAACGGATCGAAGATGTCGCAAGATAATGTTGGCCAAAAAGATGTTCTTGACACGGATGATCTTGATAACTATAAGCCGATAGATGTAGATATCAATTTAGTTAAAAATATTCTAGAGTCATACAGCGCTCAGCAAGGGTTGCCTGGCCCTGCTACAAATATCTTACAATCTATGAATATCAAGATTCCCGACGATGCAGTTGAATAAAATTATCTTTAACACGTATATGGCACACTATTGATTCGGTAGCACAATTACTCAGTTCGAAATCTAAAATAGATCATTGACGAATTACAGAGATAAATGGCTTTAGAATATAGTATTTCTGTAAACACGTACGTCCTTACTTTATTTCCTAGAACACTGTGAATGATTCTAGGAAGGGTATAGAAACCTACTAAAAATTATGGTATGGGAGAGCGATATTTTACCAGCTGGTATGCGCAGACTTTAACAAAATATTAATGAGTTCATGTAATAGATAAATGAATTGCTAAAAATAGTTCAGGTTTGGAAAAAAATTCTTACTCACTAATGTGGAATTAGTATCAGCATTATTGCTAGTATTATCTTATTACTGTAAGACGAAACTCGTTAGTCGAAGAAGCAAGAAAACTTAGCCAACATGAAGATCAAGTAAAATCTACCTAACATTTACTTTATTTTTATTTACTGGCCTTTCTATAACAACTTAGCAACAAGAAATAAGTAAATATTAAGGACAACGTGAAACTATTTTCTATGTATAGTAAACAACATCTTAACATAAATTCTTTAAAGAGTCGCCAAATGCTACGAAACTACTTTAATGTGCAAACCAAATTCTACTAGCGATTCCAACAGAATGATCGTGTAGCATTTAAATTAACTATGAGTATACTTCGATGTTGGTTACCCTACACAAGTATAGTAGCACATCATAATATAAATAGACATCCAGTAAGGGTAAACATTAACAGCTTCACACTGCATTGAGTACTATACTGTATTATGCAGCTACTGCTACCACAAAATTATAAGGATAATAGTAAACTTGCGACCGTGTAATCGAGGGTTAAGAGGATGAATTATTGCCCGATACCTCTCAATACTCAATAACGTTAGTGTTCCAACTGAAGCGGTATAACATACTAACCAGAAGTAAATGCTGAACTTACAGATAATATTCATTAATGCAAATGGCCAACCAGCTTGTTGCTCTATAGTCATATAAATGTTGGCAATATTCAACTGAAAGGAATTCAAGATTTTAAATAATATTAAGTTACCGACGAGATAGTTTACAGCATTTTGAGTATAGCGATTTCGAATAATGTAGGCCATCACTATCGAATTAAAGATAAATCCTGCTGCATTTAATGTGATAGATATTGTTAAATAAGCCGTTTCAGACTCATTTTGTAGAGGTCTAGTTATATTAATAGGCGGATCTGTGATACTGGATGTCCAAATTTCCATTGTTTTCGATTGGCTCTTTCACTTAGATATTCCAAATTTTTTCCTAGATTGATTTCGATTGTAGAACTAGACAGTTAAGAATAAAATGTTAACTTTTAATTTTACTCTCTATATCGTAATCGTTATCAAATGGAATACTTTCGTTGAATACTTATTCGCTTCGTAGAGAGTCGTAGTAATAGTACGAATAAGTTTGACTAGTGTCTTATAAAAGACGTTACACCGTTCTCTTTTGTTGACCCCGTTATTCTATAATTTGATATTTTAGGTACAATAGCTCTGATTAATACAAAAAGTTTACCAAGTAATCAATTTTATTATTTTGAAATTTAGCTTTAAAATAAATCCAGAATGAAATAATAACTTAAAAATGTCTCATACAAGCAAGAAAGATGCTGTACTGTACCGGTAGATTTTAACTTAGCGCTTTCTATTCCGAAGCTCGACGTTATTTATATTGAGGCAAGAGATCATTAATAAATTTTACGCTATCGGCACAATCAATAGAATATATTATAAAATCGAGAACAAATAAGAAGGAAAATCTTAAAATTAAATTATCATGCTTCCGCAGAAATATTACATTTGAAAATACTAAAGGTATTTATTTTATCCACGATCAATTTATTGGCGATATTTTCACAATTATCAGTTATATTATCTATTTTGTGAGTATTTATAAACAATTTGTCGCTATACTGTATTTAAATTTATTGTGTAACAATGATTTGTAGTTTGCGTCGATTAATAGATTCTCGGATCGATAGTAGTAATCGTATAGTGGGAATAACGTTATTTAGAATTACAGAAGAATATTTTAGATAATAAATATTATATTAAGTATCGTATGTGAAATTATAATAACACGTGATTTAATGTTAATAATTCTGAATCTTCTAAGATTAAAGTAGTCATGATATGGCGGATACTGAGTAATTATGAATGGTACTTTTAATTATTTATATTTATGACAAATCTGAGCTGATTAATTTTAGATTAATCCCAATCAGTTTCTACAATCACACATCTACAGTTCGTATGCAAGGCAGAAAGGTCTAATAAAGCTTCCTGGTTTTAATTAGGTATTGTAACTAATAATTACGAAATAGTTCATTAAATATCATATTACTACAGTATCGTATCGGCCATACTCATGATATCAAGATTTTAATTAGCTTTTTCCGTTATTACTAATATCTTATTATAATGTTATTTGAATCATATATGTTACTATCACAAATTTTCTTCTTTGTGAATGGTTTACTCCTCTAGTAACTAATATCCTAATGTGCTCCGGGTACGTATAATTAATAAATTACTCGAAAAGTCTTCAGTTAAAAATTTTATTATCTCGCTCGACAAGCCTTTATGACTACTGAATTTCGGAACAACTAGTCGTTGTGAGCTCGCTCCTTTTATATTTTATATTAGTTTATAATTTTAATAGTGATGGCTATCTAGATCTAACAAGCATTGACTACGGTCGACAATTATAAAGGAATAACTTAAGAAAATTTCAATAATGTAAACTACCTAAAAGATCTTTCATCTTGTCAATATTCTAATAAGAGCAATTTAATAATTAATTAAATGGATAAAAGATGTTACCGCTTGGTGTATTTTGACAAGACGGTGCTGGAATAGCTCACGAGGTACTCCGACTATCAGGTAGCTGGGATACTTGATCTAGTAACTCATAACAAACTAAGCAACCTTCGGTTAACTGATAATCTAGTTCTCTACTTATTACACTTCACGTAACTAAGAGCTACGAATAAGGCAATACGCGTAGATCCTAAGTTATTACCTAAAGATGCAGGACTTACAATCTTCGAAGAGGAGCTCAAATTTAATAATGTGAACGCTCGTCTACGAGCACTGAGAAAACAACTGAGTACCGAGTCCTTGAATATTGTATTATTTAAATATTAGTATTTGTAATGATACGTACGTACCGACAAGACTTGATGTATCCTTTCAGTTTAATTTACATTCTAAACCGTAACACGATTACAGAACTCAGATTACAACAAAGGATACACCTTACTCGAGCTAATTGCTTTGAGTGAAAACAACAGAAACTTATATTGGAATATTCCGGTTGAATTCGAAGTTAACAGTACGCAAGTTAATCAAAATAAGAAGAGAAAAGCATGCATTTCGAACATTATATTGTATCAAAAAGCAAACTTTAAAGCTAAATGATTGCTGTACTGCTGCAGTTTATTAATAATGTTTATCATACGTATTTTTTATAACCGCTTTTTCGTTGCTCCTATTATAAATTATAGCATGCCATTTATTTCATATTTCTATATGCCCATTATCTTCTATTAGTTATCGAAGTTACTTTGAGTTAGATGCTGTTGGAAATTACTTGTAATACTTTTCTAGTTGTTATATGAATAAGTTTACAAATGATTTAGAAGCTTCTGGAATAAAAAATGATAAATCTACCGTCATTTCGAACCTCATACTCAAAAAATTTGCGAGATAACTTACGAAATTCAGCTATCGTACCTTGCTGCGATAGAAATTATTGTATTTTTTTCTCTGTAATAGCTACTGCCTGACGTTACGTTTTAATATTATAGTTAGATCGAGCTAAATAATATTACCTTAAATCATAATACATAGCCCGGATGTTAATATCTGTAATAATAAGATTTAAGGCTAGAGAAAAAATAATATAACTTACTATTGTAATAAGTCACTAACGTTAATCTGATTGCTAAGAAACACTAGGATACTTGCGCTTTTATTTAGACTTAACAAATTAATACTATATCTTGAAGTGTTCTAAACTGTCTAGTAACGTTAAATATTACCATTACTTTAGTATGCATAGTGATGGGCTCCATAAGAATTAAATATACGACTGCTAATAGAACTTTTCTATCCCTACAATTAACAGCAATCAACAATCTGTAGTTTAATATAGTCTGTGCATTGAGATTAAAGTTAACTATATCTAAATTATACTCTGTAAGGCAAAGATAAACGTAGCGTTATTTTCTCTTATATACGGTATTCGCGCATGCGAGACAGAATTATTGCCTTCGAGATAACTTAAATCCGGCAATCAAATAAGGAAGATATTTTTTAAGCTGTGGAGTTATTGCGGATGAACGCCATTTTGACTGGTAGCTTTATTCGAGTACGACTAGTAGATTTACTACTCTCGTCGTTACTGACACTGATATGGCGATTGCTTAGAATATAAAATATTGGATCATAGAAAAGTGATAATAAAAATAAGAGCGGAAATAATTGAAGTAGAGTATGCGATGAGTCGCCGTTGTCTGGATCTTGTTGAGAGCCATTTGATGAATTATCAATAAATAAAGCTGCATTGAAGCCAAAGATCCAAGGTAAAGCACTTATAATAAAGCACACGGTTAAAATTATTGACATTTTAACGACGCGCTTTTTTCGACGTTCGCCAGCTGATAACTTCTTATTTCGTAAAGCCTGGACTGATGTCTTTCTTAACTTGATAATAACTTTTGTATAACAATATATCATAACACAAACAGGAAGAATATAATCGATAAAGTTCAAAAATATTATATGCACTAAATGGAATATAGACTGACTAATATTAACAATACAGTCGTATTTGAGAATTTCATTGGCTGCTACACTATATAGAACCGGTAAAGAAATTATTATCGCGAATAGCCACAAAATTACAAGGATAATAATAAGCTTGCGACCGTGTAATCGAGGGTTAAGAGGATGAATTATTGCTCGATACCTCTCAATACTCAATAACTTTAGTGTTCCAACTGAAGCGGTATAACATACTAACCAGAAGTAAATGCTGAACTTACAGATAATATTCATTAATGCAAATGACCAACCAGCTTGTTGCACTATAGCCACATAAATGTTACCACAACTCCACTGGAAGGAATTCAAGATATTGGATAATATTAAGTTACCGACGAGATAGTTTACAGCATTTTGAGTATAGCGATTTCGAATAATGTAGGCCATCACTATCGAATTAAAGATAAATCCTGCTGCATTTAATGTGGTAGATATTGTTAAATAAACCGTTTCAATATTATTTTGTAGAGGTCTAGTTATATTAATAGGCGGATCTGTGATATTGGATGTCCAAATTTCCATCGTTTTCGATTAGTTCTTTGACTTGGATATTCTGAATTTTTCCTAGATTGATTTCGGTTATAGATCTAAGCAATTAAAAAATAAAATGTAAATTTTATTCCTACACTGTATATCTCAATCATCATTAACTGATATTCTTTTGTTAAATGAGTACTCCTATTGCTTACTTACTGCCCGCTTGAGTATATTTTTATATATCTACTAATGGAAACTAATTACCTTAATGATCTGTGATTGGTAAATTTTCTTTATGTACCTAAAGTCATAGTGTGAAAGTACAAATATATCAGATTGGTACCTTGGGCAGTGCAATAGTAACTGCACTAAAATTATTCCATATTACTGTGTTACATTCTGACTTGATACTTTAGGCAACGGATTATTAGGAAATGTTTAATAAGTGGCCAGTTATGGTATCTTGATACTTATCTTTAAAGTAAAACTAGAATTAAATAACAACTTAAAAATGCCTTACGCAAGCAATGAAGATAATGTATTGTGCTGGCAGATTTTCAACTAAACGTGCATTGTTCTTATGATCGACGTTATTTATGTAAAAGCAAGGGATCATTAATAAAATTTACGCAACCAGTATAATCTAAAGAATTGATCATAAAATTGAGAACAAATAAGAAAGAAAATCTTAAAATTTAATTATGCTTGCGAAGAAATATTATATTAAAAAAATGCTAAAGATATTTATTTTGCTTGCCATCAATTTACTAACGTCAATGTCACAGATGTTAATTAATTATCTGTTTTGTGTGTGTATATATGCAATATTTATTACTATAGTACTAAAATTTAGTGAGTTGCAATAATTTGTAATTGGTGTTAGTTAATGATTTCTTGTAACCATAGCAGCAACCATCTAGTGAGAAGAATGATATTGGGAATAGCAAAAGAATATTTCAGATAGTAAAAATTATATTAAGTATAGTATGTACAATTGTAGTAAGATGTGATTTAATGCTATTAATGCTGAAAATTCTAAGATTAAAGGAGCCGTAATATGGTGGATACTGAGTCATTATGAAGTGAAGTTTTAATTATTTATATTTGCGACAAATCTGAATCGATCAATTTCCTATCAATTTCTACAATCATACATCTACAGTTTCCAATCCATTTGTTAGAGAAATCAAAATCGAACAAATGGTAGCTAAAGTGCTCATTGATACAGGTTCAGATTTGACGCTGGTCCAAAGCAAGTACTTAATGGAAGATGATATAAACTACGAGGATCAAGTATGCGCGACTGGATTCATGCAAAATCCTATAATAGTGCCTACTACCAACATCAGCATTAAAATTGGTAGGAAGAAAAAAATTAGCCTTGCCGCTGTTGTGGATGCACTACCGTATGATGCTATTTTGGGACGAAACGCTATTGAAGAATTCAATTTACTAACAATTAATAACCTGGACCTGGAAACTGTGGTCAGTGAGGAGCCGGATAATTTAGAAGCTACTGCTATAAAGGCCATTAGAGAACCAGAAAAGGATATCTTTTCTAATGAGGAATCTGTCGTGGAACAAAAACGACAAAAGCCGGAAGAAATCGCCAAAGATTAACGGTATGTGAAAGAAGGTACAACTTTCAACTCTGAAACGGGTAAACAATTTCACCGCAGCAACAGCTCGTTGGCAACTCCGGAAGCGAAGTTCCCAGTTGAAAATCAATTGGCACTGCCGAGAATATATAAACAGAAAATGTCAATAGTCGGAGCACCATTCGAAAGAGGCAAAGGACAGCCATGTGGATAATTTCCTCTTAATATAGTCAATTGTAAATATTTGTATGAATATAGAAAAATAACAAATTTTAAAATTACTTCCTTACGAGGTAATTAAAATGTTATGATTAAAATTTATAACCCTGAGCTAAATTTTAGGCGAGGGGAGTGTCACGGTACGAACTACCGAGAAGAAATAGCTATCTAAATTTGGTGAATATAATAATATAGTGATAATATATTACAACTAGTTACTTACAATAGGAATTACTCTAATTGTAAATGTGTTACAGTAAATTTAATGCTGTGCTGTAATGTGTACGGAAATGATTCTGTGAATGGACATGTTGTAGTCCGACTGTGAAAAATTAGTTAGTAGACGTTCTCACCTAAGTATTTTTATAAGATGACTCATGAATGTTAGCTGCTGTAGAACGGTATATAAGCCCGTCAGATAGTTGAATAAAGAAGTTCTCAATTGTCTAGTTGAGTTTAACGTAGAATCAAAGGCGTCTAAATTCTTGTGAGTAGGGATACTGAATCTGCAAATTTTTTTGGAGATTTAGAGATTTATTTTACGTTATCCTTGTCAGGAAGCTGGTTTGTGACAGCAGCAAGCGAGCGTATTTTATATCTAAAGTTTACCTTGTAAGTACCCACATCTCCTCAATATTAGATACCGAGTAAGTAAACATGATATCATTTACTTAGGTTCATATCTATTCAATTTAGAACTATTGCCCATCATTCTCATCCTATAACCTGAAAAAACGCCGCTAAAATTATTGTATGCCTTTAGATTCAAATTTAATTATACATATTAATTTCTGTTAGCAATATTCTATTACCATAAAATTTTGTTTCATTCTACCTTTGCATTTCAGTTATTAGCTTACAATGATCAATATCTTTATTTTAACCCTCTGAATAAACACTTTAATATTAATGGTATATTTGATGAGATTACTTAATTATTCCTCTCTATTAAGAAACTTTTAATATCATTTATTGTAACTATTAGTAATTAATTTTCAACCCTATAAATTAACTTAAAATAAGAATGAAATTTTTTGGGCTTTTAGACAATTATTAAATTTTTTACTCGTATATTAATACATACATTAATTTCATTATAGATAGAGCTTCGCAAACTATTGAACAGCATAAACTTATTTTGCAAATATATTTTTTCGGTTTACGAATTGCAAAATTAATGGCGAATAGTGCGAATAAGAGTTTTTCTTCTGGATAAAAAATGTCGACGACAACTGCGACAGAAAAGTGGGTTAGATATCATGTAGAATAACGGATTGTAATATAACGACATCGAAAATAGGAGAGGACATATTTTAGGCAGATGATTTTAAAGCCACTGTTGCTGATACTTATGAAGACTTGAACGATTTTAATAACTGGAGAATAAAATTAATGTTATTAAACAAATCCAAGGCAATGCTGTCGCTAGAAAACATACAGTCAAACCAATCAACATTCTAATAACCTGCTTTCTATGGAAATCTTGAATAGAAATTGTAGTTCTATCTCTTAGCGCTGCTATCGAGATCCTTCTCATCTTGAAGATGACATTGCCATAACAATGAACCATAATGAATAGTGGAATGAAATAATCAATTGCATCTAAAAAGATAATATAGCCTGTAAAATATCGCTTTCTATAGGATATTGCAATACTGCCATCATAACTTCTATAACTTAGCCCGTTTGCGACAAATATAATCGGTAGTGAAACTGAAACAGAAAGCATCCAAGTAATTAAAACAACGATGCGAATATTTCGCGTTAATACACGAGATTTAGTTGGATGAATGATAGTTCGATATCTTTCAATGCTGAGTACTGTTAGTGTTGCTACTGATGCCGTATAACACGTAAACCAAAGGCATAAGGCTAACTTACAATTAATATTAATGAATTTAGTAGGTAAGTGTAAGAATTTTGCCCTATCAATGTTAATAACAACAACCAGTCACAGTATTGAACCCAAATATTGGATAGAATCAAGTTAAACACAAGATAATGAGTCACATTTTGTAATTGATGATTCTGGATAATCATAGATATAGCTAATAAGTTTATAGCAAATCCAAAGCGTACTCTTTACAAACATCAATGATCATCATTGATGTTTGTAAAGAGTACGCTATAAGAGCCACTGCTAAGATTTGAAACATTGCCGGTTATATTGCTCTTTACATTTAACATTGACAATTCCATTTATCGCTAAGTTCAACTTCCATACCATTTGGTTTCAATCTCGCCCTTTATCTTCTTTCTTATTCTATTTATTTCGCAGATGTTGTCTAACATGATAAATTAATCAGAGCAGGGTAATTTACAGATTCTAATAGTATATTTTGATTAATTTGAGTGAACCGTGAATAAGAAATAATGATTTAATGGCTACTCGTCAAAAACAATTAGAATTAATTTTAGTCGATTGATAGTTAATTAAAATGAAAGAGACCCCTTAGGTTTCATCTTTTGTGTACTCTCATATTTTAAAACAAATCTGTCCTACTCAAAAAGGCCTTAAAACATTACTTCATCGTTCGAGTTACTGCTTATATCTAATTGATAGCTTTGACACTAGAATGAGTTGCAAAATATAATTCCATACCAGTAATGGCACGAAATTTGACAGATTTAATTTGTTATTTTATTTATCATCAACCGCAATGAAGTATCCTCGGGAGAAATGATATTCTATTGAGATTATTGCCGTTAAAGAATTTCTTGTTATAACAGCTCGTAAATAACATAATTAGATTTAGAATTGCGTTGAAAAGAATAGACCTGATAGAAGTCTTGATGCTTTATTAAATCTTTCAAGGATAGCATTAGCTATGGTGGATCCCAGTATGAGCACTGCAAAGTATGCAAGACTGCACTGTTTATATCATAACTTTCGCTACTTTAGCTAAATTAATTATTTTGGGCTGAATTTACTATTTAAAAACTTTATAAAGCGATACTGCTATTTGAAATATGGGTAGCTAGACAAATTAACATTTAAACAGGTCAATCTTTTCATTATTATTATGACCAGTATTAAAAAAGGTTAATTACAATTATACCTGTCGATGGTTTATACAGCAACTTTTATTAATTTCTCAGAATCACCCGTTCCTAATTCCAAACTTATTCGGCAGTTTAGTGAATATCATGTACTAAATTATCTTTACAGTTCTTCAACAAGCTATCTTTATCTTTGTTATCTGGAAATTGATTAGATTACTATCATCTGGATTAACAAATTAAAAATGTTAATTTGATCAATAAAATTTGCCAAGAACAAATTATAGTACTTTACCATACGAAATTGTTTCTTGCAATTTAAGGCATCAGCTCTACATATCATAAAACTTATAAAATGATTGTAAGGTAGAAATTATTATAATTTACGAAACTTTTCGACGTGCAATATATTTTTTATTCTATCATATATGCAAATTTTATCAAGACAACTTACAGTGTTAGAGTTATTATACGTTTGCTTCCGAATAGTTCTCCTTATTAGCATTACAGTAAACAAAACGTTGTCTAACATGAGATTCTCATTTTATAACGCAAGCAGTGCATACTTATGTAAGATCGTCATTATTGTAAAAAAGTCTTGAATTTGATCTTAACGATTACTGTGTCGATTAACATTTGCCTTATCGATAAAGTATCCATTACAATTTTCCGTTGTTGCGGCATGTCACAAAACAGCTTTGTAACAAGAAAACGTAATGTACGATCAATAAGTCAATTCCTTGAATCACGTATCAAGGAACGATATCTGCACTATCACAAACACTTTTGCTCTACTAGCAGACTACACAAAGACTTAAACGCCTCGTATTTTACGTTAAACACTAAGTTTGAGAATCCTCTTTATTACACGATATACTGCATTTATATACTATTCTTCAATAGTTCATGAGTCATAGTTAGTACGATTAACTTTGGAATCACTTGCTGAATTAGATATTATAGCTACTGCTCCCTTAATGCAGACAACGGTACTTACGAACGTAGACATCTGGTGACTAATACAGAATAGTCAGATTACGATATGTCCTATCACGGAACATTTCCACGATAATTTACAATCTACCATAAGTAAATTACAATCACAATGATTCGAACTGTAAGTAGATGATTTGCATTCCCTATTATGACTATTAACTCAGTATGTGTATATGTGTTCTGTCATAAAAAGTCAGTGCTATATAATAATCATAGTATATCCAAATTAGAAGTTAACTAAATAAGGATAGTCTAACAGAATTATCCTAACATAGATATTTCTACTCTAATACAGTATATAACACTGTAATACGGCAGTACTCGTCAAAATATAAACTTGCAGAGAGATGAATCTCTGAGAATTTTAATCCAATTGAATTTATTTTCCAACCTATCAAGAATATATTCATGAATATCACTATCATTCGTAGTTCTCATACTTAAAATTAATAGGCTGTAAACTTTAGCTTTAAGACAATCCTTTATCATACATTTTACCTAGTGAGCTACTTTAATCCTGATTAAAATAATTCGGCACCATTTGATTTTGTACTATAACTAGCTCGTGAATTCACGTATATTGGTTTTTCTATCTTTACAGCTACATCGCATAGCAAATAAATTATGAAATAATTGACGATTAAAAGCAATAAAAATTAGCGGATTATAAAATAAGGATAAACTAAATAAAAATGGAATAAATTGTATAAAAATGTTATACAGTTGGATATTATTCTGTTGCATTGGTAATAAATCATAAGCAATGAAAATACTGAAAGTAGTAGCAAATATCCAAGGTAATACTGT